TGCTTTATATAGCTGTTGAGCCGTTGGCGGTGGTTTGGAGGTATTTTGGCCTGTTATTCTATATAAAGCTGTTTAAGTTCATCTATATTCTTCTGTTCAGGTTCTTCTGTAAGTTAATCTACATTCTTACTTAAATGACCTTCTTCACTGAACCGGCAACTTCATTAAGTACATCTTCATTGTATTCACACTCTGACCTTTTTATCAGCTCCACTTGCCATATACGTGCACTTTTTTGTTCTACAGCCTGTAGTCCATCTGTTACTCTGCATAATATTTTAGCCCACTTTCACCTTGTTCTTCTATTGTCAGGACCACCACAAGGTACTGTTTGGGTGGTGGATCATTCTCAGTACTGCAGTAACACTGATGTGGAGGTGATGTGTTGGTGTGTTGTACTGGTCTGAGTGGATCAGACACAGCAGTGCTGCTGGAGTTTTTAAACACCTCAGTGTCACTGCTGGACTGAGAATAGTCCACCAACCAAAAATACTGACCACTGAGGAAGGACTAGAGGATGACCAACACAAACTATGCAGCAGCAGATGAGCTATTGCCTCTGACTTTACATCTACAAGGTGAACTGACAAGGTGGGAGTGTCTAATAGAGTGGACAGTGAGTGGACACAGTGTTTAAAAACTCCAGCAGCACTGCTGTGTCTGATCCACTCAGACCAGCGCAACACACACTAACCACCACCACGTCAGTGTTACTGCAGTGCTGAGAATGATCCACCACCCAAAGAGTACCTGCTCTGTGAGGGTCCATGGGGGTCCTGACCACTGTAGAACAGGGTAAAAGGGGGCTAACAAAGTATGCAGAGAAACAGATGGACTACAGTCTGTAATTGAAGAACTACAAAGTGCACCTATATAGTAAGTGGAGCTGATAAAATGGACAATGAGTGTAGAAACAAGGAGGTGGTCATGCCTGATCGGTGTATATACACAGCCTTCCACTGCTCCAAGGTCCAGTTCTGATCAACTGTGGGCACTTCTGACAGTGGACAGGGGTTAGCATGGGCACTCTGACCAGTCTGTGTCTACACAGCTCCAAATGTAGCAGCGTGCGATGCACTGTGTTTTGACACATTCCTCCCATAACCATCATTAAACATTTCTGTGACCGGTTTGTGGTTTGTCCTTTCTCGGATCACTGTCAGTAGGTACTCACCACTGCTGACCAGGAATACCCCACATGCCTTGCCATTTCAGAGATGCTCCAACCCAGTTGTCTAGCCATTAACCTGCCATATCAACCCTTTTTCACAGTAGCCATAAAATGAAATTTCTGCCAGATTTGGAGGTCCTTCAGTTTTTTTTCACTTTGCATTTTTTTGTTAAATGACGTTCAATGTTGAATGAGTGTTTTTATTGTGTTTAAATGCTGTTTTTATTGGGGCTGTTATGTATGATCTTTTGATGTCAAGAAAGCTGCGGTTGTACTGTCTGTTTTATCTCAGCACAGGTCTTTGTGCAGATGTTCACTCCAATTGCTCGCTAGCAGCTCAACATGACATACACAGTGAGTCTCTGCTTAATCTGATAACAGGGATATGTAGTTTATTTGAGTATAATAATTAAAAATAAAAAACAATAAATAGAATGTATTATTGTATAGAAGTTTAAAAAGTAATTTTTTCATTCCGCTGGCAGAACAGGTGCTATGGGGCCTGTGAAAAAAATGTTAGTATGGAATTCAACTGATGTTGTAACGTGTGCATATTGAGTATTTCACATAGCTGCTGAACAGCCAGTCATATTTTATAACCAGAACTATCGGTTTTATAAAGTTGTATAAAGTTGATTTTACCCCTCTACTGTCTTGCTGCGTGAACCAACAATATTTTTTGACCCTAAAAATATACACTCTAATGTTCTGTTGTAGAATTTCCTGAAACAACCTGGAATTCCTTCTTATATTGGTCCTAGTTGTCCAGGCCCTGAAGCAACAAAGTTGCTCCACACCATTAAACTCCCTCCACCATGCTTCACAGATGAAGGATGAGCATAGGCTCTTTGAAGTCAAGCCATATGAAACTTGAACAGATTTCTGCTATGAAGAGCAGAACCAAAATACCACATTTTAGGAGCCAGAAGTAGGTGAGATGAAATTTGAGCGTGTTATAAAGCATGTGAGCTGTAAAAATTAGGTGAGGGAAATGTGTGTGGACCTCTTCAACCAGACTTAGTTCACCAATATAGGATTTACATACACTTACGGATGCAAGACAACAGACTCACATTTGTCCAACTCCTGACAAATACACAGACTCAAACTGACAGATCTCTGCTCTGTCTTGGCTCTGCCCCAGACTCCACCATGACACCCCCTCCTACCTACATCCTCCTGCCTTTAGCTGTTTCTTGTTTCCTCTCAATCATGTATATATAGCTCTTTCTTCACTTCTAATGTTTGTGTAATCTTGCATAGTTTTCCTGCATTGCTGTTTGTGGTTCCACCCCTGTTTAATTTCCAACTGCTGAGACTATTCCTGTTTGTTTCCCTTTTGGACTGGTGGTTAATTTGTAAATTATGAGGTTCTGGTACACAGAATAATGACAGATCCAGCAGGTTGATGGATGGGGAACAGGTCACAGAACACACAAAAGAGTGTGCAGCATTAAAAAGGTGCACTAGACATGCAGCTCAGTGGTGGGTTTCATGATAACGTTAAATATTACAAGTATTGACAAGGATTAACAAGTGTGTTAACAAGGCTTTTATAAGAAATAAATGTGTGATTAACTAAAAATCATGATTTTACAAGAAACACTGCTTGTTCCAGCACATTTTAAACCCTGATTCTAAACTCTTGGGTAACACCTGCTGAACAACTGTCTCTGTGAAAGACTGTAGACATGAGGGGCAACTTAAAAACTAACTTTATAACAAACAAACTCAGCAACACATACAACCCCACTACATTCTTACTTACAGTGGCTGTATAGCCTGTGACAGAAAGAAAGAGTGTGAGTAGTGGTACAGAGATGGTCAGTAGGGAGAGCAGGTCATGGCCTTCCATGGGGTAAAATGTAACATTGATATTTTATGTAGGTTCAGTTGGAAAGTTCTTTTGGTTATCTACTCATATTCCCTTAGCAACGCCATCGGTGAGAGATTTCTCGATATTCAACCTAAAGACTATTTTTCTACCATGAAAAAAACTTTTTTCATTGTAAGTGTTTTTGATTACTGAGTAGTATTTGTAATAACACTTATGGCATTTTGCAGATGCTCTTATCCAGAGTGATTTACAATTTGGTCATTTTACACAGGTAGGTGAAAGTAGTGTTAGGAGTCTTGCCCAAGGACTCTTATTGGTATAGTGTAGGGTGCTTGCCCAGGCAGGGGATTGAAGTCCTGCCTACAGCATAGAAGGCAGAGGTGTTACCCACTACACTGTATCAAAAAACAGAATTCACATAACAATATTTGATTTATCCTTTTATAGCACCATTTTAAAGCACATCAACACACCAAGAGCAATACAATAAAAAATTATTGATCTTGTTTGAACATTATTTAGCAAAAAAAACAAAAAATGTTTCTCCCTTAAACATGTTAATGTCTGCAGTACCGTATGAATGCTGGTTGGCTAACCGAACCTACTGCCCATCAGCAAGCCTTAACCTGCGATTCATTCTAATCATCAGATCTCCTTGCATTGGAATAAGCGTTTTAGTCAACACATTCAATATAAAGAGTTTGGAGAAAATACTGGAAACTAACTATATATTGAAATAACCTAATAATAAGCAGGGTCAAATTTACCTTGGTATGCAAACGGTGATCTGGGTATGGTAGGTTATCAAACTCAAATTCTTCATAATAAAAAAAGCCTCCAGAAGGTAGGAATCTACTTTACATCCTGCTCCAAAACGTCCCATGAAGGTTCATTTATGTTTAGATCTACAGATTGGGGAGGGCAGAGAACGTTTGGCTTCATCCTGGTGTTTATGAAACCACTGTTGAATTTCTGTAACACTTTTTATGGTAAACTGCAGAGATAGTGAGTACATGTACATCTATGAGAGTGCTGGTTGACTGATCACACCTACTGCCCATCAGCAAGCCTCAACCTGCGATTCATTTGGTTTGCCCATTACCTCCATTCATGGGTAACTTCAGCTCAGCTCAGCAGGGTTATTTTTACCTTGAGAACAGGCTTTTGGAATGCAAATGGTGATGTGTAGTAGGTTGCAAAACCATTCTTCAAGAAGGAAAGCCTTCAAAAGGTGCACATCTACTTTACATTCTGCTATAAAACTTCCCATTCATGGGGACTTGGGAGAACATGGAAGATATTTGACTTCATTGTAGTGTTCAAGAAACCTCTCTTGAACGTGTTTAACTCTTTTTATGGCATTATTGTGGTGAAATATGGAAACAGCATGTGAGAACAGTGTTTGCGCCTGAGGATAAAACTGCAGAGATAGTAAGTACATGTACATCTATGAGAGTGCTGGTTGGCTGATCACATTTGCTGGCCATCAGCAAGCCTCAACCTGCGATTCATTCAGCTTCTCTAATACCTCTATGCACGGTTAACCTCAGTTTTTCTGACAGCGGAGGACAGCAGGTTCAAGTGGGACGGGTGCGCGGCGGCTAGCCGCTGACATTTGCATTAAGTCGACTGCATGAGATTTACTCTGCGCGAGCGCTTGTTTCATCATCGGGAAAAGACACATTTGTAATCATCGGCCTGTCTTCCAGCATGAGGTATACCCCTCCCCTACCTGCAGTAATAAATTAGGCCATGCCCGGTAGGGCGAGAGAGAGATTGAGATAGAGAGGAAGAGAGAAAGAGCGAGAAAGACCTATTTCACATGGATTTCAAAGCAGTACAAATGCTAAAGAGGGATGGGAGGGACTGAGATTTGAACCAAAATCTGAGATTTTCAAAAATAAATAAATAAAGAGCAACCGAGGCCGAGAGGGAGCGAGAGAGTGAACGAGAAAGAGTGAGAGCTGAAAGATGAAATAAATTCACACTCACTTGGAGCAGAGCCTTCTTAATTACCCTGCCTACATCCTGCCTCCACTCCAGAATGTCAGGGTTGGCCTCGTCCAGATTCGGCGAGAAAGATAAAAGCAGCGATTTGAAGAATTCTGTCACCCGGAGAGAAAGTGAGAGAGGGAAAGAGATTTAATTCACCATCGCAACACTTTTCCCATATCCTGCCTCGCTCTCATTTGTTACGGGTGATTTGGCAGGGCTGACTAGAGATATCATTACTGACAGCCATGGAAAGGTTATCATATGTAGTGTTACAGTGTTTAGGAGCGGCATTGTATATGGTTTTATGCAAATTTATGCAATTATATAAAACACCACAATCATTGTATATGGAATATAACTCTGTAGGAAGGTAAATCTGTGGAGGAAGATGACTTTAAGCAACATTAAGTACCGAATGTTTCATGAGTTTACCACAAACTACAGGCCAAAAGTCTGGAAGCGAGATAAAATCATTTACAAGCAAGACGATTTGCCTTCCTTGAGCCAGACTCTTGCCTAAGCTTCTCTGAGTTCCCCTGCTCTGTCTCAAGCTCATTTGGACGTCTGGTCCAAACTTGCAAAGTTACTGATTTGCAGAGATGAAGTCTGACTCAAAATTAATTGTATGGGAAAATCCTTTATGCTGTGTGATATCAGTCTTTTACCCTGAACAATTTTTATTCTTTACTAACTCCTAATTTAACACACATGATTCAATTCATCAAGACATCAGAAGCACCCGTATGGGAGGATCAGGTGGATCTGATTAAAGATTAGGCCTGGGCGATACCTAAAAATAATCATCATGATATTGTCTGGTTAAAAATTGTGATTATCGAAAATATCAACCCTGCTGGAGAAACTTCAGACTGCAAGTGATTTCAAAAGCCACATCCACATGCTTTCCACATTAAAACAAGGTTTTTTCTGTTTTTTTTTTTTTTCATTTTCATAATTCAGCTAACCACCAGGACACTTAATCAGAGAAAATACTTCACACCGGCCCTAGACGAGGATCAGAGGAACTTTCTCTCTAGGTTAGAGTTAACTTAGCTGCTCTACACTAACTTTCAGTCATTTGCAGCTCATTTCTTACCACAGTGAGTCACTTTGAAGAGAGCTGAAGTTCCAAAACGTCGGCATTCATGTTCAGTTCCATTCATGTAAAGTAAATTAAGGGGAATCCGTGTGATGAAGCTAGTATTACAGTGCATAGCAGAGAGAAATAACAGAGGCAGTTTCTTAACTCTCTCAGAAACTTCTTTTACATGAAGCTGTTTGATGGTAAATTAGTCCTCTCTAATTCTCTCTCAGTTCTTTTAACAGAACAGGAATTATCGTCTTTACACATTGTCACTGGGTTACTTGCATCATCAATGATATCTGATTACATCGCCCTGTCGCTCAGGCCTATTAAAGATACAACAAAACTCTACAGTCACCAGCATAACAAATCAAGAATCAGTTACACTTTTGCTGCAGACCTTCAATCAAACCCTTTTATTCAACGTCAAGTAAACGTTATTGCCTGTTATATTTTTACATTTTTAGATTTTAGAGCTTTTAGTTATTATTGCTTCAAAACCTTTGGCTTGTAGTGTGAGCTCACTTATCTGTTAATATAGTATGAAATGCTGGAAGATAACTTAGGCACCTTGAACAGCGATGGTCTTGGTGTCTTGAAGGATGGAGTTGGCGGATGAGACTTGCACTGTAACTGTATTCATCCCTTCGGCCGTGAACACGTAGGAGATACTGCCTTCTAGGGTTATCACCGGCTAGTCAGAAAAAAACAAAAACACCCATATCAATAAAGCCATTGTCTTAGAAAGTTTTAATCTGATTCAATCTGTCCTTGGTTATTTCATTGGTAAGGAAAGCCTGGAGTGGTGACTGATAAATGGCCATTTGGATCACTTCAGATTAGTTGGTGGACAATATACACAAGTGGACAAAATACCGGAAACACCTAACTATGTTGATATAAACTACCTTAATAAGAAGTAGGGCCACTCTGTACCTTGAGAACTGAAAGCAGTCATAGTGCATTGTGTGTAGTAGGTTACTGAACCATTCTTCAAGAAGTTCCTAGTTCTTTGAGGGCTGGATGAAAGAGGAGGACCTTAACTTCACACTCTGCTTCAGAACTGCCTATAAAGGTGCAGTAACTGTTAGATCTGCTGGCTGGTGAGACCATGGAGGGCCGCTGACCTCAGCCCAGTGCTCATGAAACCACTCTTGAATTTGTTTAGCTGTGTATAATTGGACGCATTATCATCCTGGAATATGGAAATATCATCAGAAGCATTGTCTGCACCATTGGGTGCACCTAGTCCAGTATGTTGGACCAGTATCATATTCATGAATGTTCCAAAACTCATGAACTCCCACTGAGTTGTCTCTCCACTATGTACACCATTGGCAGAAGACTTTGGAGATAAACACCATGCACTCTTTGGCTTTCTCCAAACATAAACATGACTAGATGTAGTAAAAAAAAGTCAAAGATGACTCATCAAACACATTTCCTTTTTCTACTGATCAGCTGTCTACAGTTTGTGCTCATTGTATTAAAGTGTCTTTGAAATAGATTCAAGTGGTTGTCAAGCTGCAGCTTTGATAAAATTCCAGCTTTATGAAGTTCATTACATATAGTTATGACTAAGATTGGGTTTATGAGGTGCTGAGTCATTTCTGAGATAATTCGTAGTTTTCCTAGAATTTGGCAACTACCCTCGTAAATATTTGACTCTACCTGTGAACTTCGAGCACTATGCAGTATATCTGTGTTTAGCTTGTATGAGTAGTAGGTTCATCACAGTTTTCAAGACTGCTCCCTTTGACACATTCATTTTGCTTTTTGTGACTGATACACCTTCACTGTGAGCACTAACGATTTGGCTTTGTTTTAGAAATCCATCATTTACCTTATGTAGCTTTGAGAATCAAAGCACTGCCTGTCGGAGCTCTTTTAGAGATGACATACACTGCTGCTGTGCACTCAAGATCATATGACTCAACTGTGTAGCTGCCTTTGTATTTCTGATTTAGCTGCTTTAAAGCTAACCTACTTTATCATGTTTCTGTCGTTTAGTTAGATAGATATATTTCATCACCCTCCACATTTCTTTGAAAGGTGAAAGTAAGAGATTTTAAAATACCAGGCAAGGAAAATAGCAAAATACAAGTTTGTTTGTTTGGTTTTAGCTTCATTTGCTGAACGATACTCAGCATGAGGAAGCTGAGCTTGTCCTCACTCACTCGTTTGGTCAGTTAGAAAGCGGAAAACACAGACATAACAAGTTAGCTAACCAGTTTAGCTAATTCGTAAAGGCTATAAAGTGTCCCTATAAATAGATACAAATTTGTTTGGATAAAAAATCACTTCTGACCTCCTGCTGCCGGTGCAGTGCAACAGCCAGCAGATGCTGTGGAGTCTAAAGGGTTAAAGAACCATATTTGTAAATGAGATATAAGTGTAAAGAACCTTTTGTAAAGTCCATATCCTACATTTTCTTCTTTTTTATTTTCTCCCTTGAGGACCACTTATGATGTGAAGGTGAATATTAGGGGTTGTACATCGTCAGATTTTTTAAAGTCGACAGTTCTGTGATGAAAGTCGAGCTGATGTCGACTAATCGCTGATGACGTCATGAATAAAACCACAGTTGAGTGACAAGTGACTTTAAAAGTCTGACTTTAAAAATCCATGATCAAGCCAAACTCCACAGGTCAGTACAGCGTGAAGTGACCCTTCCAACAAGGGCACGTCACACTGGATTGCATTGCTAGCCTTCAGGGAACCGAAAATACGGACCCTGGAATCTCACAAATTTGTATCCAACTTGGGCTGAGAAATTTAGGGCGCCACAACTCGTCAAAAATAAGAGGAAACAACTTCAAACTGTGCAGGATTATAGGGCATTATGCCTCGTCTCCAGTGACGTGACTTTTTATTGTAGTCTTCAGAAACAAGAGACAGCAGTGTTCAATATCTGCTGTATGAGGCACTGAAGATCAGCAGAGAAATGCTAGAACGAAGCCAAACTCCACAGATGAGTAGTGTGTGGCTTACCCTTTCTTGGATCACACTGCTTGCCTTCAGGAAACCAGACATACCGACGCTGAAACTGTCAGGCTCCTCACCTGTAGTCTTTTCTGAGGCATCCATGTTGTTAGTGTCATAATCACATGATCAGCTACTAGTCGACATCATGCTTAAAGCGTCATTGCTGAGCAGTAAAGTCGACACGCTAACTAGTCTGTATAACCCCTAGTTTATATACCAAAAACAGTCCTTATTAATTTTTACATGACCTTTTTCCAACTTTTGCCTATGCTTTACAATTAAATAGGCTGTTTTTGTTACTGCGGCTGTTATATCTGTTAATATTTCGATGCTGTCCAAAAAGTAAAAAGAAAAAAATCTTTTTTTGTAGGTCAATATAAATGCTCCAAAATCACTTGGGAATAAAACCTTTTTTACATTGACTTGGATTAAAAGTTAAGAATGTCTTTGTCTTCTCCTGTAAAGTTACTGTTTTGGACATGTTTTTCTTTAGACGGCAACAATATGAACTAAGTAAATGAGCACTGTTCTGATTGCCTGCCTTATATTATGCCTTATTCAAAAAGCAGTCTGGGCTGAAACTTACCTTATAATATCAGAGTAAATGGGCGGGGCTAAACTGCCATAGGACAAATTGTCAGATATAGAAATGTGTTCACACAAAATCACAAAAACAGTGTTTCCACATTTGAGCTGTATAGGCTATAAAAAACAGTTTGCAGACCACATCAAACTACTTCATTTTAAAGAAGTTTTTTTCCATGATATCGGCCCTTTTAAGCTCCACATAATGTAAAGGTTCTGTAGCAGTTGGGATTTTTCTGTAGCGAGGCACCACTGAGGAACCTTTATGAGAGCGTACTGGCTCAGATGAAGGGCTCTGGGAAGTGCATTAGCATAAATAAATACTTATCATGGCATCAAAACTGTGCTTATTACGTTTTGGATATGAGCTGACTGTTATTGAAGCAACCTTTCCTGCTCTGCCGTACTAGAGCATGGCTTATGCTCCAAAATTTGGAACAATAGTGCAGTTTCTCAGGGCAAATTTAATTAGAGAGTCAGAGTGAGAGCAGGAGAGAGAGAGCTGGCTGTACCTCAGTGCTGTTCCCCAGCCACCAGAAATAGGTGACAGTTCTGGAGTGTGAGGGCCACACCATCGCAGTCAAGTTCACCTCCTTGTTTTTAATCACCACGAATGGAGCCAGCAACTGAACGTGCTCCACAGGGACCTGAAATACACACAAGTGAGGAAAAGGCTATTGGAGACGCATATAATAGCATTTACACTCACATCCACACTGACGTTAAGGCTTTATGAGAATGTACAGAGAATACATCTTCATAATAATGAATAAATCATCATTTCTTCAGACTTATGGTTCAATTCCAGGTCGAAACTTTACAGCTTGGCATGCATCGACATCAATGTTTGCTTTCCAGCCTCTTGTTGAGCTAAGCTGAGAAGTACTCTAACTTTAAAGCGCTCTGTAGCTCTGCCGACTGCAGAGCTGAGACTACACTCAGAAGACAGCATGATGAAATCAGCACTCGCACATTCACACATAAGGAAACAAACTGCATTAACTTAAAGCAATAAATGGAGCCATCTATTTAAAGAGAAGGCATCTCATTTATCTGGAGTTTTTAAGCTTCTGAGGTTTAACCTGAATGCAAATTCACTGGGGTTGTGGAGTCAAACATGCAAATGTAGGAAAGTGACTGTACAGACAACTTTGTTTCTTCATAGTAGGATTACGTGTTGTAATCTTTAACCGGTACAGATTAACAGGACAAGAGTTAATTTGAAGTTGCTTTCTATGAAAAATATGGACTGTAAACACATTCAAAACATATTACAATGCATTCATATGGCATTATACACATGGTTACAAGTATTTATGAAACTGCCTTACACTTCATAGCCAAGTTTGTTATGCATTGTGAATTGTTAACATAATGCTTTATAAATAATAATCATGACACATTGCATTGTCAGTGCCAAAGAAATTGACTAGCAAACCTGCCTATAAACACACTCTGGGCCATGCCTCCTCTTTATGAAGTCTTGCTCATGCATTCTTGTACAATTTTGAGCCAGTTTCCCTGAAATTTGTCATGTGATGTTTCTCATTTTTCCTGTCTCGGTTTGTTTTTTTTGGACTTTTGATCTTGGATTTGGTGGGGCGTATTTTACACATCAAGATTTCTCAGTAAAGTGGCCCAAAGTGGCCCAAGGTAGGGATTGCCCATGTACTACTTCTATTGGATATGGCACTGGTATGGGCATAAAATGTCAGTCTTAGCCTTTCCAGGACCCCAAGCAAAACATGATTGAAATTTTGAGGTCTGTCCACATACTTTTGACCATATTGGGTATCTTCCTACAACATACAGTGCATCCCCAAAATGTAGTCAATACAAACTGTAGCAATGAAATTCAAATGTGTTAATCAGTGTAGTCCTTTCTTTTAAATAATATTTCAGTTTATTGTTTATATACATCTACTTTCTCTTTATTATATACATCTACACTCTTAAAAAAAGATGGTTCTTCAAGTGTTATTTAGTAAAGAAAACGGTTGTGTATAGAACCATTAACACTCAAAGAACCCCTTGCATGATTAAAGTGTACTTTGCATAATAAAAGTGTTCCTCAGATTGCAGATTGCATTGTAGATGGATCTATGTAGAGCCTTTTTGAAAAGGGTTCTATATAGCACCAAAGAGAGTTCTGCTATTGTTATGACATCAAGCCTCTCCCAATAGAAGAACCATTTCTGGTGCTATATGAAACCTTTTTCAAATAAGGTTCTATATAGAACCATTTACAGCACGTTCTCCATCAATCTGAAGAATCAACGTTTCACGATGCAAAGAACCCTTTAATCATGCAAAAGCTTCTCTGAGTTTTCTTTTTCTTTACTAAAGAACCCTTGAAGAACCATCCTTTTTAAGTGTGTACTTTCACCTTGGTTTTTGTCGTGTACTGTTAGAAAAGTATATATGAAGCATAGTGAATTTAGTGGGGCATGAAGATTGGTTAGTGGGGCACTGTTCCACCAAATGACCCCGTGACACCGGGCATGCTACAAAACCATCCTATCATGTCTGCTGCTACTGTCCCTGTCTAGATAACAGAAAATAACATTGTTGTTACACTTGACAGGACAAGTCCCACTTTAGTGTAAACACCACAAATTGTTTAGGTCTATCTATAATACACTTTTCTAATAAATACATATGAAATATGCCATCACGCTTGCCAACCTGCTGAGTTTACGTATGGGATAAACCCACACTGGGTTTGAAAGAATAGTTTGGCAAAAAATCTAATTTACACGGTTTCTATGTCCCCTAAGACATGTTGGTTAATCCAAAATTTTGTGCTTTAATTTTGCATTGCAATCATAAAACCCCACCAATCATCAGTTCTTCTCTAATGAGAAATAATGTAGCTAGCTTAACTGAGAATCTTTATTGGCAACATGTAACATTTGCATTTGGGCTTTATTTTAACAACCTAAGGTCAAGGCCTAGTGCTGAGGAGTCTACAGCACTCCCAGATTTTAAAATTGTCTAACCATAACAGCTAAAAATAGTTTAAAAATGAATAAACCCTAAAAATAATATGAGTGTAGTGAACACCTGTGTGCTTGTTTTAGGGCTGAGTGTGTTTTATTTATAAATGTTCACTCTTTAATCACTATACACTGTTTAAGATAAGGCTGAATTTTCACTACTGTGAGCCCAGTCGCTCTCTCTGTTGACCACTCTGAGGGTCACTAAAACACAAACAGCTTGAATTGTCCAGCTTGAAATGCATGCAGAGTTGTGGGTCAGTTCTGTAGCACAAAAGCAGCATAGTATTAATAAAAAAATCTAACACTATATTGCCCTTATTTTGGTGAGTTATTTTTCAAACGTTAATATCTTCTGATCAACTTGAATCCATTCAAGTGTTGAATCTCAATCTATGTCTATGGGCATGACTTAAGCGATTACCGCAGCACACATCAGCAAACCGATTGGTTGCTGCTCAGTTAACATGCATAACATTCATTGTCCACAAGGAGAGAGCTAGTTATTTTTGTACAGACCAGCTTAGAAACATTACATTAGGGGTTGAAAGCGAGAACAGAAATATAGGCGAGGTGAGCCAGCAACCAGCAGGTTGTGGGTTCAAATCCCAGGACCAGCTGTGTATACCTGGTTGTGTGTTTGGGCGAGGCAATTAACCCCCCCACTGCTCCAGGTGCCGCTGCTCTGTTGGCAACACTGTGCTGCTTCCAGACTCGGCAAGTTGAGCAGCGAAATGACATATTTCCTTGTAGGATCAATAAAGTACATAACAACTACATGACACAAAATATATTAAAACAGATCAAATAAAAATGTGTTGTTTTTTTAACAAATCCTTTTTAAAAGTCTAGACAGATGTGAAACAGTTCAGGCTCAAAGATTGCTGCAACTACTATTTCAGTTATGTACTTTTGTCCATTATTATAGAAATGAAACAGTGTCATACAGAGTCAGCAGACACATAAGCAGGTGTATTTGAGATGATTTTTAAAGCTGCTACTTTAGCTAACTGAAGAAGCAAATGTCTTGGCTAATTGATCACATTTGGTGTCAGGGGAGGAAAACTGTGACTGTGAAAGAAATAGATGCCAGACTATTCCCTTAGGCTGTTGAGAAAAATCCTGCTTTGTGAAATACCATCCTGTGCTGAGATCTTGTGCTTTGACCCCTGTCTGTTTCTCAGATTTTTGGACTGCATTTTTGGTACTTCCTGATTAAAATCACTCTGCTTTACCAACCACCCTGCTGAGTCTCTGCGCTGGACTTTCAACCCCCTTTTTTTTTTTCCCTCAAACATTCAGTTAGACATCATGCTGTCTAGATCCTGCTTGGTAGCTCATCACCACCATGTCACTGACGAATGACAACAACAACAGCAAAAAAAAAAAAAATCAAATCGCTGCTGTTGAAACAAAACATATCTCCAAAATGAGAACTTTGCAGGAAAAGGGAAAAAAAATACTTGACTTTTAATGTAAGTCAGTGGAACAGTGGACTTTTTTTCAAGTAACTTAGTAAAAAGTACTGAACTACAACTGATTTCTATTCTCTATTGACAGATTCAAGTCTTCCCCATCACAAATAACATTATGCTAGAGGAACCACTTTTGGTTCCCTAAAGAACCATGTTTGAAAAATGGTTAAAGAACCATCACATAATATAAAGGTACTATACCATTTGAAGGGTTCTTGCAAGAACATTTATATAATGTGGATTTCTTAAACATTAAAAATATACTTCACACTCATACAACTCATTCACAATGGTTCTTTAAAGAAACAGCCATTTAAAGATTCTGAAGGGAACCCAAATGCCTCTTCTATGGCTTTGCTCAACGGTGCCTGTGTGGCACCTTTTTTATATTTAAGACCATTGGATTTTTCCCCATTTGTTTCATTGTCACAAAATTAGTAAACATGGCATGTTGGATGTTTTTTTTTTTTTTCTCCACGAAGCAAGCCTGTTCCTCTCACTCACTGAATCTTCTTTTTTTCCATATATCGTTGGATTTAAGCAACAATGAATGAATCATTACTTTAACGGATTACTTGTTTCTTTGGACTAAAATAAACACATTTATTTATTAAAATGTACTGGGATAAAATGGACAGGAATGAATCATTTCCTCAAAGAAATCATTATTAATTTATTACATCATCATGGTGTCATCATTTTCAGTTTGTAAGTAAACCTTGGTTTATTTTTGAGTGTGTATGCTTCTCTGCATTCTTAAAAGGAAAGGTGCCAAAAAAGAACCATATTTGGTTCCTTTAAGAACACTGGGATGGTTCTTTGGCTCTTCTTTTTTTGTGAGATGTATTAATGTGAAGGTTTTTTCTAAAGTTAAAGATTCTCCACATAATATAAAGTTTTTTCACCAATTAAAGCCAAGAACCATTTAGGGACCTTTATTTTCAAGACTGTACATGTGTGAGCGTGTATGATGCCTACAAGTGACGTGCAGGTAGAGGGAGGTGCTGTCGAAGCCCAGGCTGTTCTCGGCGAGAGCGGTGACCCGGAAGATTCCGGCACTTCGGTACACGTGTCTGATCCCCTCCTCTGTCCAGCTCAGGTTGGAATAAGACACCGCGGTCCCGTCCCCGAAGTCCAATTGGATATTTGTCCTCAACGAGTCCCCCTGTGAACCATGCAGAGCGTTATTAGATCGACAGAATAAAATCCTAGATCATCAGCATGGAAGCTTAGGCTTCTTGAAAGACTTGAGGCAACAGCTTTTTGCATAAAATCCAATTTAGAATGTAGAATGTGGACAAAAGTACATCACAAAGCTAAAAACAGTAGTATCAGCCTAAACTTTGCTTTACTTTTGTCAGTAAAATAACGTATATCATACAGTGTCAGAAACCATGTAAGCAACTCTGTTTGAGATTACTTGGATGATTTAGGCATGCAGTTAGCATGATGCTAAACCTCCATTATCCATGTATCCTATTCAAACTGGGTTAGTTTCACCAGAAGAGGTCGGGTAATGTAATTTGTAAGAGATTTGTCTGGCAGATTCGTATGGGATAAAGAACCATTGCATTTTCCCTAAACTAACCCAGACAGCCCTAATCGAAATGTCATAGTCTGGACGTTCACAACAGTCTTAAAATTAAAATGAAATGGGCCCAAATAAGCAAACAGCAAAAACTAACCAACAGTCAATGGCAAATACAAAAGGACAGAAACTGCACTGCCCTGTGAGAGGTACTTCCAAAATATTTAATTTTCATCCTCCTCCTAATTAGGCCATCAGCAGAAATGCTGTGGATTACAGTAGTCCTGTTTTGAACCTGAGGATAAATGAACTGTGCCAAGCTGTGGGGAACCCTCAGGGCCTTCTAAGCATTCAGAGAAGGCCTAATGATTTCTGTGAAATAAAATTAAACAAATAATAAATAACTAAAGTCCATAACTGACATGCTTGTTGTATTTAAACTCTGAAAGTATTGGAATAATACTCTTATTCCATTATAAAGTTTTGGAAACAAATTAATTCTTGAAACACACAGTGGAAAATTTAACATTTAACATAACATACAGCCAAGTGAGCTCTCCCATTGGTTAGGACTTCAGGGGCTGAACTGAAGGCCTAATGTGTCAGGTTAACCACTAATATGATTAGAAACTGACAATGGAATCAACAATCATGTTTTGATTTAAAGTGGATGGTACCAATCTAGCAAGAAAGAAAACTTCACTTTAGGCCTTCTAGAAGTCCCACATACATCACTGTGAATACAGGCGGTAGCCTGACCAATGCTTATCTGTTGTTAGTAATGGAAAACAGTGGAACAGAGGAATGTGTTTTGCCATTTGCCACTGGTGCCAAGACTCTGTTCTTGATGTTAGCCCTGTCTTCAGGTCACCAAAACAGAGGTGTCATTGTCTAATACTAGGTTTTACATTACGTGAGGTTGATTTGAACATGACTACTCTTACCAAAGTACATCAGCGATTGATGAATTATAGAAGGTAATGTGCTCTGTAATTACTTCATAGACTTGTAAAAACTATGGACATTAAAGATTTGTACTGGTTTAAAATCATAGTTCATTGGTTATCACTCGAATTACAGCACCTCCCCAAGTAAAACTAATCTAGCTAGAATAGGGCGTTTATCAGTGTACATTATACACCTCTTTATAGACATTTTAAGGTTTGCTTTGTTTTTTAGTGCATGCTTTCCAAACTGTCTTTTTAACAGATACAGTACAGTTTTCCATAATGTGGACAGCATTTAACCACCATGCAGGCTGAACTAGATAAACAGATTTTGGAGGGCCTTTACATAACGAACCATTGAAAAAGGTCAATAGTCTGTTCCTGGCCTCTAATGAAGAGCAATGTAGCAGAGAGTTTGGCAGCAGAGGAAGGCACCGAGCTGAGCACTCCAGCCAATGCCCTGATGATGGGTCAGTCTTTTCACACTGGTCACAGCATGATGTGACATAATGCAACTAAGTAACAGGATTACCAGAGAGGACAATTAACACATCTAGTGGCTGCAGGTGTAAAGCTAGGCAGCCTTGCCAAGCATTCACACACTAAAACATGGACAATTACAAGACAAGCAACCATGGGAAACAGACACAATTCCCTGTAACACATTCCAACTAAATGAACCGCAGACAATGTTGGGGCACAAGCAGTTGATATTGTGTCTCACATTAAGCACCAATGGTTCTGTGATTGGAAATGTTTCAAACAAAAAGTTGGCAAATTTGTATAGTACAAGTTGTGAGGTATCATTTGTCTAGGTCTGCTAGAAGAATGTTAAATCACATATGCCTAAAACTGGTCTTGAACCATGACTATTAGAACTAAGCCTTCTGTCTGGGCCATAAATATCAAACAACAACAACAAAAAACTAATGAATGTCTACAACAGTACTAATTTATGCATCCCTGTTGTATTTCAAATACTAAGAAATATTTTTTGGCTGTTCTAGGTTAAATATGGACATTGTGGCTTCTCTAAGACATTCCATACATTTTATTTGAAGCTTGCAACAGACATGTTAACATTTATTTTACTTGGTATGTTGCAGTTTTACCGTGACTCAGCAATGAGGCCTAGCTTAGAGGCTTATTTTCAATTGTGACATCACAAAATTGGTTCCATCAATTGGAAACCAAACCGTGATTCGTTGATTCCTCTGTCAGTTTCTTATTATGCTGCTGATTAATCTGAAGTGTTAGGCTTTTCTGTCCAGCTTCTGAAGCCCTTACCAATGAGAGAACTTCCTTAGCTTTATCTACCTACAATGAAAAAAGTTGCTTAAAGTTTGCTTTAAATTTACGTGATTCAATTGTGTACATTTGACTCAATACGAATAAAATATTTGTAAATATGTTAACAAAAATAATTTTTGTTAACATATTTACTATATGTAAGTACTTATTGATGTAACATATTTCATTTTTGTGGAACTGATACACATTTGAATATCAATTCAACAACTTTTTTTTCCAGTGTAGATACCACAAAGAAATAAGTACTGATAATTAAGTACTGGGTAAATTTCTTTTGGACATGTTAAGAGTTTCCAACCCAAAGGATTACTACAATAACTGCAGAGTTAAAAACAAAAAAACATGGCATTACTATTACATAAAAATTAACTAAAAATTCAAAGTGTATTTTTTTAGTTCTCAGATGTCTTTAGGACTTCTCTGAACAGTTCTCTGAGTGAGCATTCCCCATTCCCTAAAACACAATCAACTAACCCAAAACAAATAATCTGTTATGTGAGCTACACTTATTAAACCAGGGGAGATCATTTGGGACAGTCGCTAAATGACTTGAATGGTTCTCCAAAAAAGTACAAAGACCTATATTTTGTGTAATATGTTTTTGAGAATGTCCATTCCACAGCTTTCCCTCTCTAAATTCATGTGGTCCTTATAAACTAACAGAGAGAATGGCTATACATTTTAAAACTGTAATCAAACCTAAATAGTTGTTACGGTCAGCAATGGTATGATGTTCTGTGCATTTGGTGGCTGTCGTGTTGAAATGGGAATGATACTTGGCCTAATGTAAGCTTCTCAGACAAAAAATTAGTCACCTTGCATGGTTAAGGTGGTAGTAATTTAAAGCTCCTAAAGATGGTGTCGCACGAGGATGATCGGGCTATAAATACCTGCGGGGTGTGTGTGACGGGATTCATAGATTGAGAAGAGGTGGTACCGTGCAGTGAATGTCTTGTTTGATGTGTGGAAAATGGGTCATAAAGCAGACGTTAATGATGGGCAAAAAGGAGTGATTGCCTTTGGGCGTGCGAAGGCCATAGTGTCAAGGAAGTAGCTGAATTTGCAAATGGTCATACGGGTCTACCAGCAGTGGCAAAAATCCCAATCTACAGGAAATTCTGCGTCAGAATTGTGTCCGAAAGACGAAACTGACGGACAGGGACCACCAGCATGTTGCACAGCTTATGAATAAAAAGCGATTCCCTGCGGAGTGTTGTTTCAGGAATTGGTTGTGAAGGTCCTGCATTGACTTCTAGAGGCAATTCTTGCCTGGAAGCGAAGTGATTTTTATTCACCAGCTCCCTGGACAAAAAATTAGCCACCACCTTAAAAATTCAAGGTGACTAATTTTTTGTCCAGGGAGCTTATTAACTAAGAGGAGCAGCAGATGTAGCAATGTGTTTACAGAAGAAATGGACCTCAGAGCCAGTCTTCTAGTGCTAAAGTCCACGTCTGCTGTGCTGAGATATTTGAAGAAGGTATTTTTTTATTTAAAACAAAAAATCAAATGTTTTCTCATTTGAATATTTGAACAGTGTTCAAAAATGTGGCAATTTGAATTGCAAAACTGGTTAAATGCCCAATCTCAGTGTCTGCATCTGTGTGTGAGAAGGATCATCTCCTGCTACTATCTCTGCAAGCCTGGGCCTGTTTTTACCCACACTCCTCTGGGTGTTACATCTGGCACCCTGCGCGTCTATCATGCCATGCATGAGGAAGTGTTGGTGACTGCAGCTGCCACCTCGTCCAAATGTGTGTGCGTGATACTCCCAAATCCGTGTTTATCCTTCCCTCAAAAATCCCCCTCTTTCTCTATCTCTCTCTCCCCCACCCTTCGGTGCATTGTAACACAATGCTATTGGGATATTAATTTGTAACACTGCATTAGCGAGCAATAGGGGGAGGAGTGTGCTCGGCAGTAGCGAACGGTGAAAGCCCCTTATGTATTCCTGCCTGTTCTCTTCCAGCCGGCTGTGAAAGATCTGTGTGTGTGTTTATGTGCCGGGTGGTTTCCGGGATATTTCATGCCACTTTGCCCAGAAAATCGTAACTCGAATAACCTCGCAGGGAAGAAAAGAGCCAGACGAGAAAGAGGAGGGGGAAAAAAAGGTCTACTGTAGCTGGGCTTGCGTGAATTGCATTGTAGCCATGTCGGTTTGGACAACGCATTTCTTCACATTGTGGTCTAAACCCAGAGAGATGCATATGAAGGGAGGCCAACTGCAGCCAAAGCCCGTGGTTAAAGGTCACAGGATTGTAGCTGTGACAGAGATACTGAAAGTGCGGTTTAGCATTTGGACTACTGTATAGTTCACTACCCTTCGCCAATCTGCAGAAGTGGCTTGCAGTGAGGTTCAGGTTCTCTCATGCTGCAAGAGCAAATGTCATCGTGTCACACTGGCTTGCCTGCTTGACTGAACTTTTCGGTATGTATTTTTAAATATAAACACTTGTTGTCATACAAAGATCTTTGTACTGAAATGCAAATTTATGAGAAAAGGTAAACAGTCTTAACTTCATTGTATGTTAATGTTGAGAATTTCTCCTGTTTGGATTATCGTAATCCATTGTTCACTTGCAAGGCCAAACAGACCATAGAAAAAACTACTGCTGATACAGAATGCAGCAGCAAGAGCTTTTACAAGAGCTTTTACTAAAATGTGGAAGAATGAGCATATCACACCACTACTGGCAGCAATTCACTGGATCCTTTTTCAATACAGAATTTTTTTTTTCATTTTTTTGTTTATAAGCTATTATTGGACTAGCACTATATGTCAGATTGTCTAACTCAATATGCTCAACCATGTCTAAAAATGCTTTCTGTTCTAACAAAAATCACCAGAGGGAAACCCTGAGGGCCTTCTAGGTTTTCTCTACAGGATTTCTATGAAAGTACTATAGCACTACTGCTATTTCATTGTTACATTTAGGTTGAAAACGAAAAAGGTTAAACTCTTCCAATGTCTATGTAGTATCTAATACAGCTGGCTCTTGCAAAGGTTAGGACTTCAGGTGCTGAACTGAAGGCCTAACGTGAGAACGAACAATGGAATCAGCTCTTTATTTCCCAATTGGTGGGACCAATGTTGTGAGGAAAAAACATCACTCTGGGTGTTTTGGAGGTCCTAGATATGTCCATAAATGCGAGTGGCAACCTTAGTGCGCTGCGCTTCATTTGGATAAGAAATGAAGTGAATATTTATAGAAGTGGAAAACGGCTCCATGCTGAGACTCTTTAACAAAAGGACTAACAGTAAAACTGCCACAAATGAAAAAATATGCCAGTTTGTCTTGTACAAGCTAGAAATGTCAGTGTTTAATCTAGAATGGCCAACAAAGGTTAATGTGAATTACCGTTCTCATAGCACTACTATATCCCTATCCCAAAAGGGGGCGCTAGCAGAAATTAGCATTATTGTCAAGGAGATTTACCCATCCATTAATGGAATGACCACTATAGGACTACCTTAGGAAGCTTAAAGATCAAAGTATGCACAGACACTGTTAACTTGTTTTATAACAGCAGTTAACAACTTTCTCTGTTAATCCAGGTTTAAATACTCAGGCTGTGATTAATCCAGGTTCAGATGGTCATGCTGTGATTAATCCTGATGCATGTGTACATGAAAGCTGTGGCAGTAAAGAAGAAGAAAATTATATTACCTAAATATGCAGAAAGAAAGCATTCATACTGGTTAAAATGCAAAGCTGTCCTCATTGTGTTATTCCAACTATGCCTAAGTTAGCTAAGTAAGAAATACCGCATCAAGAGACAAAGCCCTGAATCGAGAATACTGAAAAGGTTTTCTATAATTTAAATTGTGAGTTATTAGAACCTAAAACCAGCATCCAATAATCAGCGATACGCACGTTAGCCAATTTATAGAATTTAGACAGCTTGTGCTAGTCATTGTTATTAACTAGCCTTTAATATTACAGTGCCACAGCTAGCAAGATGAGGGGAGGCCTAAATAAATCTTGTTTAGGGCCCCCAAAAGGCAAGAGCCGGATCTTTGTATAACTTACACTATTGCAACTAGAACACAGATTTACATCTATGAGAAACTGTGGGGAAAACGTGCTAAATTTAGCTTAACTTGGATCCATCAGTTATAAGTTAACATCGTTGCCAGAGTAAACATGTTGTTTGTTGTGAGATTTTCTTTTCTGTCATGCAAGTTTACAGCTCACAGCTTGTAGTCTCTCTACAGCCTTCAGCAGAGCCACAGTGTGCTGTCTGCTTTCTCCCCCCGCGCTGTGGCGAGCGATAAAAACAGTAGTTTCCATGTAATCCTGCTGGTAATCGCCCTGTTTTTAGAACTTGCATGCAATCTGATTACTGTATTTCTTCTGTAACTGTAAAATAATAGTTACCTTTTTGCATCCTGTTTATGTAACGTTGTGACATGTATTCTGTTACTTCTAATCTGCGACTGTATTTTTACTGCTTACTTCCATACATTTGTCCTATAGTGTCTGTACTTATTCCCAGACAAGGCTGGTTGCTAGTGTTTTTGGAAAGCATATCTCTGGATGACTTGCAGCCTCTAACTCTGGATCTGTCGCTTTGTTAAAATCATGACTTGGGCTTTCATCTGCCATGTGTTGCACCTCGGCAACATTAAATATTTAGGGGCCACTTGCGTCGCCGAGAACCACCCACCACTCGCGTCCCCTGGCTTCATGAATATAAATTAAAGTCGAATTCAGCGGGAGGATTTCCAGAGTCATCGCATCTCTCGCGAAGAAGATTCCTAGCGCTTCCCCTGTCTCTCTCGCTCCCTCTCACTCACTCTCCCCCATCTATCTATCCTAATGAAGGGAATAAGCCTTCATTTCCTCATCTCATCACAGCTGTAATGTGGCAACCGCGCCACGCCAAGAGCCCCGGAGAGACGCGCTTACCTGCCGCCCGCGCGGGTGTGCTACGCTACATCAATGGGAAGCCGTTTCCCACTGGGCTTCACGAGGCGCGCCCGGCTAGCTCCGTGCCATCTGCAGGAGCCTTGGCTTCCTCCCTTCTGCTTGACACTGCAGTATGAAGTAGGGGGGCGGGCCAGATGGGAAGCTTTTATAAAGTTCCTCGGCCCAGGTTGCACTGCGTTTGCTTTAGACAGCGATAGCTTGAAGCAACAGGGTAATTAAGACAAACTAATCCGGCAACAGTGTGAGCTGTTACTTGTTTTTGTTTGCCAGTGTGAATTGTTGATTGTTCGTGCTCAAAAATGATACAATATGATAACCGACTACTATTTTAACTTTTTTGTAGAGAATACAGCCACATAGTACACACTCACAATATGTTCACGTTGGTAAAACCAATCCAGTTTATCTGAGATACACCAATCTGGCAATAGCTTTATAATGATACAGTAGAATAACTGTAAAAAAGAAATAATTTTAGTATTGTTCATAGTATAACACTCTGCACTGTAGACACTAAATGGCCCACATTATGGAAATAATAATTTCCTGGTAATACTTGACTAAAGGGCAGTATTTGTAAGGCTACATGTCACCTACATAAGCCTTTAACCACAACACATAAATCAAACATTTTAAAGGCTTATTCTAATAAGTGTCAGTTGTCATAATGGCTGCTTCTTTCAGTTTTGCTTGCAGAAAGGTTTATGACTATGGACGCTCAATAGAATAAGTCTCTATACATTTTATAAAGGTTTATGTAGGGGTTACTTAAGTGTTATCATGTCTTATTTTTTATTTTCGAAAATAAAGGTAATCACATAAAAAATGGATCACGGCTGTTTTTAAAACATACGAAAAAAAAAATCACAAAAATGATTATAAGTGGACCTCAGAGAAATCTACAGAGCAAACTGTCAGGTTCCAAAGGAAATCCTCAGGGATGTCACACAAAAATAAACTGGGCTTTTCCTTTCAAATGTCTGGATCATTTTATTGTCTTCTCTATATCCTCCACACCAACTCAGCTATAGACAGTCTGCAGTAACAACACTCCTTATCACTTTAATGTGAAAGGGCAGTCATATGAAAATATGTTCATTGTGAACATGGTGTCATGACCATGGTAAATGTAAAATCTTTTTACACACCGCTTGAACCTGACCAGCATACTCTATGACTCTTGGTTGGCTAGGTTTGTGACTTATCGTACTCCACCGATGTACATACTCCAGTTTTTCAGCAAACATACCTCTTCCAGCTGCACTACAAAGGTGACGTTGCTGCCCAGGTTGGCTGTCAGCTTGCTGTCCCGGGTTGCCAGGTGCAGGCCTCGTGGGGGCCGGTTTGGACACTGCTGTTTTCGGGCTGTGTACATCTCTTTCACTCCGTTGGTGCAGTTATTGGCTGCCACTTTACGGTAGCTGATGAGTACAAGAAAAGAGAGGATGTCATCAACTTCTCTGTTATCAGTGTTGTGATGACTTCTGTTGTCATTGTTACATTCAATATCAACTTAAACTAGATACAGTCTAGTGTAGGGGATGGGCGATAAAACGATAACAATAAGTATCGCGATATAACTTTTCCTCGATAGAGCGAAAAGACAGGTTCGATAAATGTTCGATATAATACACCATTCTCACACTTCCACGTTTTAGCGAAAGCCCTGGTGGCATTTTCTACTGCAAGGAAAGCGACACTACTCTGCTGTCGCCAGGAGAGGGCGCACTTCCGAATTTTTTGACTTGATTAGAGAGGGAGGGGGCCACGAGTAAAAAATGGGTCGCCAAATATACTTTAGCAACGGCTGAAATGCGGAGTTATACATTCCCTGTCTGAGTTGAGCGACCGGCGATCTGTTCTCCTGTGACCGAGTGTGAGTGACGAGGTCAGTGGTGTAACTATACTGTCCTACAGTCAACTCACCTCTTTCCGTGCGTCCTAACAACTTTAGCGGTGTTAAATCACGTCTACAGCGCCGTGTTACAGCGCCAAACCATCATATTTTAGTATTAGTGCATTCTCGAGCAACGAAAGTGAAAGAAAGAAGTGGGTTCATGTTCGAAAGTAAACTGAGGAAGCTGTGAGGCATTGGAGAGCGGGAGAGCGCTGTCTTTCCAGGCTAGCTGTTTTTAGCTGCTGGCTAATTGAAGCAGCGCTCCGCCGCTCCGGCACAACACGGTGAATTGATGATATGGTAGATCAAACAAGACACAAAATCACCGCTTTCAGTTTAAACATGCCTAAAAGGAGGACTCTGTTTGTCTGGTGTGAGAGATTCACACTGCAGATAATGCTTTTACACAGCGAATGTCAGATATACTGCGGTTCACCCCTTAAACTACTATGATAGCATAGAGAAACCCAGTCGTCGCTAGCTGGTGTCTGAATACTGTGATATGCTCCGACATGGATGTGGTAGGAGTGACCGCAGTGACCTACCGAACCGTGTTGATGTTGTTGAGAAACTAAAGAGTTTAGCACTGTTGTTGGCCACTTGTTTAGCATTTGTAACGGGGTAGCCGAGCGCTCGACACCAGACAGCTAAAAATAATCTGTTTTCTTTCTTAAATCATGACTATTACAAAAATTGCAGCTGTGCTTTTCAAGCTGCTAAAAACAGCTCAGAAACTTTGGATGAGTCTTTAGCAATGGCTGAAACGCCGAGTTATACATTCCCTGTTTGAGCGGAGCGACCGGCGATCTGTTCTCCTGTGACCGAGTGTGAGTGACGAGGTCAGTGGTGTAACTGTACTGTCCTACAGCGAACTCACCTCCTAACATTCTAACCAGCTTTAGCAGCGTTAAATCACAATCGCAATCCTCACAACTACAGTGCTGTTACAGCGCTCGGACAGTCATATTTAAGTATTAGTGCATTCCGAAGGAACAAAAGTGAAAGAAAGAAGTGAGTTCATGTAAATTACAGCCCTGATTTAAACTAAAGTAAACTGAGGAAGCTGTGAGGCGTTGGAGAGCGGGAGAGTGCTAGCTTTTCAGGCTAGCTGTTTTTAGCAGCTGACTAACTTGAAGCAGCGCTCCGTCACTCACACAGCGCGGATAATTGATACTGTAGATCAAACATGGCACAAAAGCACCGCTTTCAGTTTAAACATACCTAAAAGCAGGACTCTGTTTGTCTGGTGTTGATATATTGCGGTTCACCACTTAAACTACTACGATAGAATAGAGAAATCCAGTCGTCGCTAGCTGGTGTCTGAATACTGTGATGTCTTTTGTAACCAGATAGCCTAGCATCGTCACCAGACAGCTGAAAATAATCTGTTTTCTTTCTTTGTTACTATTATGAAATTATGACTATTACAAAAACTGCGGCTGTGCTTTTCCAGCTGGTAAAAACAGCTCACCAGACACTTTCTCCCACTCTGCCATGACAGAATTCTGAAATGTTCCACTGTTTGGTGAGTGTTTGTCACGTTCAGACCATAAAGGATAGCTTAAAACAGCAGTTAAACACCCAGGAGCAAAAATCAGCCTTTAAACTTGAAAGAAATAATGATTTGACATTTATCACAGTATGTATCAATATCGAACGATATGAATTTTGTTTATCGTGATAACATTTTTGGCCATATCGCCCAGCTCTATATGTAATTATTTTTCACTTGCAGATCATCAAAACAAGGAAATAGTGTGGATTCTAAGCTCTCACTTGATACCAAATTTGTGTTTGTATGCAGAAGAGATATTTTATTCAGAGTTATTCTTGAGTGTCTTGTTTTGAAGAAAGTACATTTTTGCCAGGTTTATTTTTCACTTGTTGACATCAAAATAAATAGAAAAATTTCAAAAGTGCTGACTCAAACTTATTGATAAAGAATTTTATTTTAAACGTAATGCATATTATAATGCAAACCTATGTAATTGCAACATTTAAATGATGTAATTACATAGGTAATGACATGCTTGTGTAATGAATTGCATTACATTCATAATACATTACATTATTACTGTTTTTTGTTTAGCAAAAAATAGTAAAACAAAGTGCAAGCTTGAACCTGTAAATATGCAAAGTAAATCAAATGCAAATGTAATTCATTAACAGTGTGTTAATACTGTTACATCTATTACTTGCACAGAACATTACTGTTTACATCTGTTACTTGCAACTTGCACTTTATGGACTGCTGCTCTACATACTTGCACACACGCACATGTAACTTTAATTTTCTTTCAACTTTGCACATATAACTGTACTTTTTTACTTTTTTGTTTTTAGTGTATTTATACTTATTCAGTGTATTTAATATATTATTATACTTTATATTTTTTTTCTAAGACTATATTGGTGAATGGAGGAACAGCAAAGTCTTTTCATTGTACAGTGTAACTACCTGTTTCTGCTTTGCATATGACAATAAAACTCTTGAATCTTGAATCTTGGGTAACACAGTGTTACAGACCTGTAATTACACTTTCATGTAACACGTTTTCATGCAATGAAATGGTGTCCAGTACAATTACTAGCAAATATTGTATTACTTGTATTACTTATGTCTCTAAAAGTCTCTCTAAGCAACTAACATAGATCAGTGATTCTTAAAGTGGTCCTCAGTGACCCCCAGACAATCCACAACTTGCAACACATTAAGATTGAGCAAAAATGTGGATTGCCAGATAGGCCCTGAGGCCTGGTTTGAGTACAGCTGATATAGATTACTTATCTTTAACACACCTATTTCTATCTGTGCATGTCCTTTTATGTATTTTGGGCTTATGTGCACTAACTCTGCCAGCAGACTGAAAGTTGGATTGGATGTGAACAGCATAGAGTGAGCATGGAGAAAGCTGTACAGTGACAGAGGAGAATGACAGTGGATTCATCCAAATGTCCAGTTTCCCAATTCATATCCTCATTGTTTTGAATTAACTGTGCAAAACTATAAAAAGATTGTGAAGTGTAAGTTATGCCTGAGCTTGAAACCGCTTTCCACCCCAGTAAACTCAACAAGCAATCTGTCTGCTGAAGCATCTGATCAGACTGCATGCTAATATGAAGTGGCTGAACCCCATGCTGAAGAAAAGAGGGCCACGATATCATCTAAACAGGGCAGACTTCATTTCTGTTCATGTTTGAAATGCCTAGTTTCAAATAGCGTTTGACAAGTTTATAACTGTAATCAAGAACAAGTGGCTATGTCTTGTTCAGAGCAGAAGCAGAGACAGGCCTTTGAAATGATCTTTACTAGTTATTCCATATGTACTGAAAGAACTTTCCAGTTGTCACAGGTTTGTATAATGTCTACCCCCATATGTAAAGGCTTATTATTCAGGTACTACATGGACTACAGTGCAAACAGACTTAAAGGAAGGACTTACAGAACAGTGTCATAAAAGGTTGGACCCACCCAATTAGACAGTTCATAGCCAATAAAGGGATTAGATACTATAACAAAACAGCAGTTATAACTTGAAGCTTCTAAGAGATAAATAGTCTTTATTAAATAGCAACAGAGTCCCTGTGGCTAAAAAGCCATCATCAGTGCCGTGTACTGTAAGCACTAAAGTAGTTAAGATGAGATGTTCTACAGCCTATAGCTTATTAATTAAGTCTGTTTCTGTCTGCATCACTCTCTTTAATCCATCATCTCTTCTGTTTTGAACAGAACTTATATAAACTTTATAGACCACCGGAGTAACAACTCATTAAAAGTGTAAATCAGTTCTCTCTTCTATGATTTGCTTCCCTGTAAGGCGCAGCCAGTGGATAATTCGAACTGAAAATGGTGTTTTTTATGTAAAATCATCTGCAAACTAAATCTGTAAACCAAAGGAACAATTTAAATATTTATATATTTGCTCTGTATCACTAAACAGTATCACTAAAATATACATTATTTCCACATTCAAATAACTGTTTTATATATATATATTAGTGCTCAAGCAAGGCCACAATGTCTTTAACCCTAGTCTAGAGTTATTGGCCTTTTACTATATATTTAATTTGCTTCACATCATTATTACATAATTAGATAATTAACTAGAAAAGCTCATTTCCTGAAGAAAACTCGGAGTGACTACTCAGCTTATGCAGTTCCCAGGAGTTTAGGGTGTTATACATTTACAGTGGTATTTTAGACGGTTGCTAAGGTGTTGCAAGGTGGTTGCAGTGCTATCCCAGATGGGCACTAACTGTTTTGCTTTAGTATCTCAGGTGGTTGCTAGGATGTTAATAAATAGCTGGTGTGGTATCTAAAACGGTTTCAGTATGTTGCTATGTTTTTACTGAGGCATCAGTGGTGGTTGCTAGGGTGTTGTTATAGTATCCCAGGTGGTTGCTAGAGCGTTGTTATGTGGTTGCCATGGTGCCTTATGTGGTTAATAGGGTGTTGCTAGTGTACATGCATCATCATGACATAAATGGGGGGGGGTGGTTCTTAAACTTTTACCCATAATTCATTGCTATGGAAACAGCTGTATTCAAGTACACCATTCCTGATCAAACCAACCATTGCAATGCAGGATTATTTAGCAGACAAAGATCCAGCAGAAAAGAAGAAGAAGAAGAAGAAGAAACCTATACATATAAAAAACCTTTGCTCAAATTCAAAACATGATAAAATATCTCCTCGTCTACTTACAAGCACAAATGTGGTAGCAAGTAAAAGTGTACAATTCACACTCTCCCTCTCTCCTTGTGTTAATGATCTATGAGTGATAAATAATTCAATGAAATATAAGAAAAGGGTTTCATGGCTTGAATGGCTTATGTATACATTCAGTATACTCCACTATACTTTCATTATTCACCAATACCACACCAATCATGAAACCATTTCCACAGTTCTTGTGCTGGTGTTGATCACAGAAGCAGCCTCAAACTCTGTAGAGAGCAACAGAGAATAGACAAGTTTTATACTCGCTTCGGCACTCATGTTGTGTGGTCTGCTGCTTTGTCACTGAGCTGTTGTTGCTCCTAGACACTTCCATTTAACAATAATAGCACTTACAGTTGACAGGGGCAGATCTAACAGGGCAGAAAATTCACAAACAGACTCATTCTACTGCCACCGTTTGTCTATGGAGATTGCATGGCTTTTTGCTTGATTTTATACCCCTGTTAGCAGTGTGTGTGGCTGAAACACCTGAACTGAAAAATTAGGAATGGTGTCCACATACTTTTGGCCATAGTACAGCATCATAGCTGTCATCAACATCATCATCACCATCATTCCTGACACAATCAATGGAAAATGATGCAAACTAAGTTTACAAATACCAATCGAGGGTAAAATTACTTTTGTTAATTTCTCTAGAACCTTTGGACCCCTCAGTGGTTTCATGTGTCTCTTCATAAGCTCTGTTTAGTTAATGTTATACATTTTAAACTAAGCCTTTGTAATACAGAATGCTATCATAAAATCTTCAACTCAGCAGCTTGCCCAGTAGTATGCCTAGACTGTCATGCACAAAGACAGGTGGTGCATTTAATAACACTGTAATATGCTCAGTACGACACAATGATGTCAACACATCAGTGGAGTGGGTTAAAGCATTTACGCCTATAATTATAGTAAATAATGACTCACTCCTTAGATTGGGTGAACATTTGTGAACTGATTCTAAATGACAACACAGTAAAGCATCTAATCCTAATACAAATTGCTCCTCATTAAACCGCTCTGCAAATAAATAAATACATAATATCACTATCTAAGTGTTTTTGCAAATATATGAGTGAGAAAGGCAGATCAGCACTGATCGGGAGGCATGTCATATTTCGTTTTCAAGTGGGCGCGAGGAGACAGATACTGATCGTATTCCTTCCCCATCCATAGGCAGCATCAAGAGTTTTACACAGTAAACAAATGCCACCAACAGGCCTGAATTAAATGTTGCCTTCAAACAAATCATACACATACACACATCAGAAATGTCAAAACTAATGTCAGCAAACCTCAAAAACCACTTATTAGACGTAGGCTATAGCGCACAGCCATAGCTAGAGTAAAGCATGACAGTCCTCTACTTTACTCTAAACAAATGCCACTATATATTTTTCTAGAAGGCCCTGACTGAGAGTGTCAGAACCTTGTCTTGGGCAGCCAGGCATGATCCATTAACAAGAACACACATCAGAGCACTTCTTAAAATCTTGGTAGTGAGTTGTGGGTGTAACTATATGCTACACCCACAAGCTTCCCCTCACAAACTGGGGTGTCAAACATACCCACAGGCCAGGACCAGCCCGATTTATGGTTCTTATGGCCCACTAGATGAGTTTAGACTCCACATGTCCTGAATTAAAATCTTCTCTGTGGACAATAATTGACAGTTTGCAAAACAATGGCTGACATAATGCTCAACCAATCACTGCTTAGCAGCTGCCTCTGAGCACTACTTTTTCCGTCAAGTGAAAGAAAAACTCATCAGAGCAAACCTGCAGTGAGAATGGTGGTGCCAGTTTGAGGACCACACTCAGTGTAGTAACAAAACTATGAGCAAGTAGCAACAAGCTGTACTTAATCTTGGTTAGTGTATTTGCTAAACATCATGTCAACCGATATATAACTTTGCAGTTTAATGTAAAGATTAGTTAGCTAACCAAGTTTAGCTGCCGACATCGCTGACAGCTTAATAAATCAGTCAGGTTAAACAAGACTGTACAGCGCTTACATTTACATCAAAACATTCTGCGTAAAGATAAATATTAATGCATTTATTAGTCGTTTGATCAGTTTGCTCTTTCAGGATTTACTTTTCAGATAAATGACTATAAAATTTGTATAGAGTTTAACTACACACAGACCGAAAAAGTGCAGCAGGTCTGTGGATTAACAGTGATTTTAATTTAAAAAGGATGTTGACAACTCGCCGGAGAGTGAGAGAGCAGGTGTGCAGCAGGGTGAGTGAGTAACAAGTTTTGGGTAGCAAGGTGGTAAACACAAACAAACTCTCACTGAATTTCACTGTAATGTCACACATTTAGAAGGGAAAGAAAATTTTAAAAATCACTAAGTATATGCTAAGGACCCTGTAAAACTTCAGTAAGAATCACTGATGTCTTTTTAAGATTTAGTTTCGGTTCTAGGCAATAGGCAGGTACCATTTACCATAGGAGCACTTTGTGGTTCTATAATTACAGACTGTAGTCCATCTGTTTCCCTGCATACTTTGTTAGCCCTCTTTGACCTTGTTTGACCTTGGTCGGGACACTCACAAGACCACCAGAGAGCAGGTATTATTTGGCTGGTGGATCATTCTTAGCACTGCAGTAACACTGATGTGGTGGTGTTGTGTTAGTTTGTTTTGTGCTGGCATGAGTGGATCAGACACAGCAGTGCTGCTGGAGTTTTTAAACGAGTTTTTGAACATAGTTGTGAGCATATTTACACATAATTGTGTGACTGTGTGTATGACACTCACCCTGTGCTGTTCAGGTAGTTTTGGCCAAGGCTGCAGCTACGTGACACTGTAGCAGGGTTGAACCAGAACGCAGGCAGGCAGTTCCCATCTCCTCTCCGTTCATAGCCATAATCACTGCAACACAGACATATTCATATCAACATTTATCTACAGCACCATTTCCTGGTTTGTGCCTATATATATATATATATATATATATATATATATATATATATATATATATATATATATATATATATATATATATATATATACTTCTACCTGCCAAATGATTTACAACATGTTAATGTACCTGTGTCCGCACTTAACGATGGATTAAAGGATGTAACAGGATTTATATTAAAGCGTCTCAATATATTACACCTACACACAGACATATAGACATTTATTTTTCCGTTCATGCATCAGTCTGTACTTCACTCCACTAATCTGCTCATTTATTTGTGGTTATGCAGTCATTTTAATAGATCTACTCTACACTGTAAATTGAAATGTTAGGATTTTCAAATCTTCTCTTTAACACTATTTAAATGCTTTTTATTAAATGCTTAATTAAAGTCATATTTGGGAACTTACAAGCTTACGTGCCCAGGTACAGTGTGTGGCCAAAAGTATGTGAATATTTGACTGACACTTTTGTGGGCTTGTTGGAGATCCCATTTCAAAACCATGGGTATTAGTATGGAGACACTCCTTCATCCTTTGCAGCTACAACAGCCTCCACTCTTTTAGGAATGTTTCCAAAAGAATTCTGAGTGTCTCTGTGGGAATTTGTGCCCATTCAATCAAAAGAGCACTTGTGAGGTCAGGCACTGATGTTGGATGAGAAAGCCTGGCCTTTTCCCAAACTGGTACAATAAGTTTAAACCATATAACCTTCTAAGATGTCTTTGTATGCTGTAGCATCAATATTACCACAGACTTGTGAGACTTGTGGGACAGGTGGCATCCTATGACAGTACCACGTTTAAAACCACTGAACTCTTTGAACAGTTATTCTTATTTTAAACACTTAAACAGCTCAGTTAAGCATTTTGAGACATATTTTAAAAAAAAATACATGCATGAATTACAGGGCTTAGTTTTAAAATGTTCAACAGGGCTTGTGCCATACAAATATAAAAGGGTCTATTTAAATGATTTTACAGTTGTAACTCCAGCCTATTAGTGTTCAAGCACAGAGCAACTGCTACACTGCTTAAAAATAAAATTAAATGGTTCTTGGTTCTAAAAACCTTTAGTTGGTATTGTGGAGGTTTGTGGAGGTTTTGGGAACTAAAAGTGGTTCTTCTAAGGCTTTGCTCCAAGTGACTCCTATAAAGCCAGAGCAAGGTGGTCTGAAGTTTACATCAGACTAGAAGCTATTTTTCCCCATGATATCCAGTCATTGTCTTAATTTATTTTCAGTAATATAATCCTTGGAAAATCAGAGCAAGTCTCCAGTCCCCCACTGTGCTAACAGCCCTTCAACTAGCTAGACCTGCTCTGAGTACATTAAACATTTTCTTTCCTTGTTTTACATCATTTTTATTTGACCATATCCTTCGAGTAGCCACTACTATGAACTTTTCTTTTTTTTTTCTGATAATCACAGAAATGAATGAATAATGGACAAATGAACAAAACAAATAAATGACAAACTATCCCACCCAAACCCCCTCCAGCTTATGGTGGTGGTCATGCATCTAAACTTTGCCACTGCAACAGCCCTATGACCAAACGACCACTTATATTTTTAAAAATAAATGTTCTAAAATGGGTTGAAGTGATGCGATAAAAAACACTTCTGGATCCCTAAAGAACCTTTCAGTGGTTCAGTGATATATGAAGAGGAAGAAGAACCTTTTTTGTACTTTAACGAACCTCCACATAATGGAAAAGTACTAAACCAAGTAAGGATTTGCTTTAGAACCGTACCATCAAGCCAAGAACCATTTGGGAACCATTAATTTTTTTTAAGGTAGAAAGGTTGAATTTGGTATAAAACACTTCTCGAAATTAAAGACTGTAGCCTTTAAAATGCAGAACACATTCAGTGGAAATTGCTAAACTGCAAGGACATGATTCATTTTGGACAAAAAGGTACAATATTATCTTTTATTCAAAATATTGTGCTAAAATCCATACGATTTACTTCTTATAGATTTAATATAATATCCACGTCTGTGTTGGGCAAGAAAACAATGCTAGGTTTTCTGTTAAACTGATAGCAAATGAACCCCTCTTTTTTCAAAACAATTCACATTCAAAACAAATCCAGACCAAAGACATGTTTACCAGGCCAGCAGAATATTGCAGAAAGCTCAATCTATCTGGGCTATTAAGCTGGAAACTGACATTACGCTGTGTCCATCAGAATAATTATGGCTATTAATGTTTCACCGATTGCCTTTCATCCACTTCAAAGTCAATTAAAAGTTCTGTCCAGTTTAATTGGAAATGCCAACAAAATTGGTTTGCTTTCACACCACATGTTTATATCATAAAACGCAGGACATGTATTGATGAGCTGTATCAATGCGGCCGATGGGGGGTAAAAAAAATAAATAAAAAGAAAAGGGGAAAAAAATGTACTGGTGCAGAAGCTAATGGATTCAAATTGAACTGCTGCAGCTTGACCTTGTACAGAAAGAATTAACATAAAAAAATGTACTGATGCTTTGCTTTTTGCTGTCATTTGAAGATAAATATAAAAAAAAACACAACCAAAAGAAATTTGCATACAAATTAAATCTGTTTAGTAGCTCGTCTTTGCACGTTGTCATGAATGTTGCCAGCACCCATCACCCACAAAATCACACCAAAACTCTTCTTTCTGTCCAGCAAAGAGACTTTCACAGGAACAGCTGTGTAAACAAATCAGAATATGTTGCACTTTTTTAACTTGTGGAAAAATTGAGTTATATGAAGGCTTTTATGCACCATAATGAGTTTTTGAACTCATTGTTGAAGACATTTTCTATGGAAAAACTTCATCTGAGGCTGTAACAAACCTTATAGAGTGCAGATGTTTTGTGACAAATCCATTAGCAGGTAAAAAGTGCTTATTGCATTATTATTACACATTATTTACACTGTAATAACAGCATTAGCCTATCATTCTCTGCTTTTCTTGTACCCATCAGCAGCATTTCTATAAGAACAATATGCTAGTAAATATATTATTACTCTGTTACTCTAATAAAGTAAATGAATAAATGAATGAACGATCTTTTTACAAGCAAAATAATTAATCATTTTCAACCATCTATGTCACCATCTATAGATATCACTATCTATACCGACTCAAACCTATTTAGGTTTTAAAGGGGGAACAACAGCACTTTATGTAGATGGTCTATCATGTCACTGCTTTAATCTCCAATTTTAATTGTTTACATCATTTGAGCACAGCAGCTGTCATTTGCATTGAATTAAATATCTATTATTAACCTTAACTTTCCTAGCTTTGTCTCATTCACTGTAACCATAACCTTGAATTTAACTCAAAACCTAGACATAACCCTAACCCTAACCCCAACCTTAATCCATAAGCCTATTCTTAACCCTACATCTGGTTCTAATCTTAGTGCTAATGCTATTAAGAATCAGGAGTTTGTCCATGAAGCTGAACAATTTGAGCATCTAAATGCTATGCAAATGAGGTAGGATGAAATAATAAATAAAAAGAAAAATATACATTATTATTACTTTATTAATACAGGTTATAACAATATATCTTAAATTATGTAGGTCAATTCTTTTATTTGTATGCACTGCTATAAACAAAGGTAGTAGCAAAGAAGAAAGTCATAAAAGTAAAGCATGTAAATCCATCATGTAAAATCATTGGCTCTAGGGGCAAAGCACAGTGGGAAAATTTGACAGTTTACCTATTAAACTTTATTATGAGTACAGTGACTTATGACTACAGCTCTGTTAGGGTTGAGCTGGGTGATTTTTAAACAGTGGCTCCTGTATGCAATAAAATCAATACAACAATCTCTCTCTCCCTCTCCCTCCCTCTCTCTCTCTCTGAGCTGTTCCTTGCCCAGCGTGTCAGCTTTGGATGGCTTCTCTGAAGGATATAGCTGTGGTTCCATATACGGCTGCATATATCTTCAGGCTAATAACAGTGCTGAGCATCAGAGAGAAGACATTCAATCTTCTAGAACGTGTTTTTAAAACGACTCAGTTTTCACTCACCACTCAAAGTCATGAGCTCTACATATACAGGGTTCAGCCGACAGGATCCTGGACGAGTCCTTGCCCAGCATACAATAGACGCCCGGCCGGCGCTTCATGTAGATCTGTTTTTGGCCCATCACGCACGGCTCACCCTGAAGGAAAGACAAGATTGTCAAAAAATATGGAAAAAATGAATAATACCAGGCAATTACAGAGGATTACTGCAGCTCCACTGGAAGCTTCTAATTGACTAGCTGATGCATCAATCATAGAGGTTCAAGCAATGCTTTGATCAGCACGTTTATCTGTTCAATTATTGAAGTTCTTAGAGTTTCTCCACAGGAATCAACAGAGATTCATTGTCTGTTGGTCTGCTTTGGCTGAGTTTTATCAAAGGACGTGATGTATGGAACATTGGTCTGTGCTGGTAATTTTCCATGACATTCATACAATGACTGTACTCTTAAAAATAAAGCTTCATAAATAGATACTTGGACTTGGATGTGTGGTTCTAAGAAAAATCCTTTGTTGGTAGAGAATCTTTATACTACATTATCTATATTGTGTACTCATTTTTTAAAGCATGATTTCTCATTGCTGATATAGCTTTCATTTGATATGTTAAAGCATGATTTAACAGAGACAAAACTTTGTAAACATACGAAATGGAATGTATTTCACATTTTAATTTCACCTTTTATTGCTACTCTGATTGAACCAAGCTTTTTGATCAGAATTCCAGTCTGAATGTGCAGGCCTGCTCACTCAGAAACTATTACAGTGCATCAACAACAGAGGCAGCATTGAGCTTCTTTGATACAGTGATAGACAACACAGTAGCTGTGTAAGCTTCCATTCTACATGAAGTAAGGAAAGCCCTTCTATGAGTAGATAAAGTGTGTCCAAACTGTTCACTGAAGTGAATATTCAAAAAAGTGATGCATTTCCAATTATTATGATCGTTACACTTATTGAATTTAACCCCTCAATTACATACTAGAGCTTATTATTCAGTAACTTCAGGGACGTCATTGCAAACTGTTTGGTTACAGAAGTGTGTAATAAAACTTTTGGACTGCTGGTGGGCTCTGGACTTTTACAAGGTTAAACTCTGCAAGTATTTTAGTAATTTTCTTTTTTCATTGTTAAATTTTGATTGTAAACTAAATGGGTGAATTATTTATATACTCAATGACAAATTATCCAATGAGATGTTTTTTTATTTTTTATTTTTATTCATCTGTGGTATCTAGGTAGATGTAGCCAAGCGAGCTCTCTTCCATTGTTTACGACTTCGGGATCTGAACTGAAGGCCTAACATGTCATTGGTTAGGACTTCAGGAGCTGAGCTAAAGGCCTAACATGTCATTGGTAAGGACTTCAGGGGCTTTGTGTCCGGTTAACCACTAATATAATTACAAACTAATAGAAGAATCAGCCAATCACCAATTTTGTGAAAAAACACTTTTGACCTTCTGGAAGGTCAGTCAGAATGAAAACAGCAGCAGCTCTATGTCAGGGCTTTGAAAAAGTCACAGTGAAACTGCTGCTAAGTGAAATATCTGTTAATAGATCTTACAGGCTTCAAATAAAATGTCTTTTATAAGCTTCAAATGCCTGCGAAAGGGCATAAATTGTTCACATTAATTGCCGTTAGCTTAGTGCTAACATACTAAAAACACCATATTGAGGCAAGCCAAAATTACCATTATTGTAGAAGTTGTTTAATCTGGTTTTTGGTGGAGTTTTGACATTAATGGCCCAAACTGAAGGCTCTGACAGTCATGATTCACCACTTGTAATAGGCCATGCTATTTGCCATTTATACAAAAAATCTACAATTTTTATGCAAATCTAATTTCCATGAGAATAAATTAAAATATTACATCAACACTATTATGCTTGCTGTCAAAAACAAGTCAAAAAAATAAAAATTTAATATAAAAATAAATATTTTAGTGTGGAAATGATATGAAAACATTTGAACCAAGTCAACTCAATGCATATTTTTTCACTATGCATTTGTAAGCTGGTGCAAGAACCTGCCATATTACCATTTCATCCCAGAACCTTGTTTGTTTGTTTGTTTGCTTACCTGATTATGAAGATGCCACGTTTGGAAGTCTCCTTCAGTGCACCGCTTAGTAAATAAAGACTTGTAGTCAATTTTGATCAGCTGCCATTCCGACCGATCGCTGAAGTGTCCGAAAAATCTGTTGATGCAAATGTCACAGTTTGATCAAGGCAGAGCTTTTGTAGCAACTGACATGCAGAAGGTCCTCAGGTGGCCAGTGTTAATAGAATAATGTCTAAAAAGGGAAATCTGATGGCTTTGAACCAGATGAACTCCCTTAGAGAGACCAGCTTATGACAACTGTTGTCAGTTAAATGGCTCTAACATGTCATGCAAAGAATAATTAACCTTTCACCGTTAATGGAGCGTAAGGAAACGTCTACGTGAGCATAAGACACCTTTGATTAATCTACGCTTGTCAGCAGAATATGAGCCTTTGTGAAAGACGGTATGAGATGGTGAGAGAGAATGAGCGTGTGTGTGTGTGCGCGTGTGTGTGCGCGCGTGTGTGTGCGCGTGTGTGTGTGCGTGTGTGTGTGCGTGTGTTTGTGTGTGTGTGTGTGTGTGTGTGTGTGTGTGAGAGCTCACTGCAGACAGGTGTTGAACAACAAGCCAGTCTTTCACAAACTCACGTCAGTATCTGATTATCCATGCCCGGCTCCACCAGGACTCCATCCACAAACAGTGGCATCGCTGAGAAACTGTGGTGCGTCCACTGCCGTCCTTCATCAAAGCTGATCCTGAAATGACCATTCCACAAAAAAAGATTTAACCACATAGCACCTCACGCAGGCCCCCTAGTGTTGTATACATCAACGTCTATGCTTTAACTTTTAATACTCTTTCCAAAAAGAGGGTATTCTGACCCATGCTTAGAATTAGTTTTGGTGACCCCAAGTGATGCACTTTCTTGCCGAGCCACTGTTTGGATGAGCATATTAGGAAATGCGAGCATCACTTTCCATTCATTCTTTCTTCTTGTTAAAGTAGTATCTGGGGTAATAAATCAATACGTATTTTGTTTGTGCTTTATTTTTAGTGGATGTTGTGTTTTAGGCCATAATTTTTATTTGCAAAGTCATGCCAGTTGTTCCATGCTAGCAACACTACACTGCTCTATGTAAGGAGCTTAATGGGAATGTGATAGAATAACATTACAAGAGCTTGTAACTTGTACTAAGTGTACATGTATATCGCCACTATTGCTTGTTAAGATTGTGTTGATGTAGTGAAATGGGTTTTAGCGAGTCTGGCTAGGCCTTATATTGTGAACCTGTGCTGTGTATTCCCAGTCAATGCAAATTTGTTGGATCTTTGTTTCATTAATACTCTTAAATTTTAACATTTCTACTGATAATGTGCACTGAAACTGATACTGTTATGTTCTTCTGTGTTTACAGTTTCAAACCATTTCAATTAAAAATGCTTAAAGGTACCTATGTCTACATTTTGGAAGAGTGTTTAACTCTCTGCATAGTGAGGGCAGAAGAAAGGGTCTTGAGCAATGTCATAAAAGAACCATTTGAGTTCCCTAACCACACTGTACATTACTTGTTGTATACTATATATGTATAATGTGTTATATTTTATTGCTGCTACTTTGCACATCCTTGGTTTTGAATTTTGACAGAAAAAAAGATTTGAGTTTTCATTAAGTTCATTAAAACAGTGAATTCATCTTAATTGTCTTCATGGTTAGATAGCAAATGCATAAAATGACAAAAAATTTAAATTTAAAAGCTGATGGCAACATAAGTTATTTGGTAATTTAGTGATTCATAATCCAAATAGTTGATTATTCATTTCAATATTCGATAGATTATTTGACAAATTAGTCATTTGTTGCAGCCCTATAACATACCATATTCATCATTTAATTGTGAAATCAATTCAAAATATTTTCTGCACACTACAAATTGTGTTGATTAACAATGTATTGTCACTCCTTTTTCATTTGGTGTCACATTGTGTTAAATATGTGTTAAAGTGAGGAAGAAAGGCAACACAAGTGTTTGTGTCATTGACTAATCACATAAAAGGTTGCTGGTTATGTCATCGGCATTTAAAATTCCTTCTTTTTGTTTTTTTCATGACCCAGGTTTGGAAATAAGGTAAATAGCTTGTCTCTCTGCTCTATACGTGCTCTGAGACTCTCAAAAGGTTTATTGTGGATCAATAACCTTGCAGGATTTATAAATAATGCTTGCTGTGCATTGAGATGATAATGGTAGTTTTTTCCCGCATTTGAATTTACCCAGAGGTAAACATATCTAGATAGAAAGTTAATTTAGCTTTTAACAGATGACAGTACATACAAGTAGCTACATAGCTAGTGTGAAAAAACTAGCTAATTAAAAACTATGCATGAAAGTTAATGAAGCCTCCAATTTGACAGTTACTTTAAATGAGTACATAAATGACAGTGTAACATGCTTCTTTACTCACTACTCTTATGTGACTGTGCCTACATTAGACTGCCTATTAAGACAATTATAAATAATGAACATATCATGTTGCAGATTGTGAAGGATTCACTTGAAAATGATTAAAATGGATGGAGCTAAATTCTGAATAAGATGGAACTGACTGTATCGATATTAGGGGCTGAAAAAAGATCCGAAGGTGCCTAGTTGCCATGGGCCCCAGTGCGATGGCCCCACTATATCCCCCCTGGTAGTTACACCACTGTTCATGACCACTCAATGTCCTTAGTTGCATAGTATGTACCTAATAATTTCTAGTAGCTATCCAATAATAAGTCTTAAAATGAAAAGCTGAACAAGAAATCTAAAGGGTTTTGGGGGTTAAACCTCAAAAGCTGGCTGACACAGAGTAACACCATTGCCCATCTCATCCTCATATCAAATGCAGTTTAGGAGACCACACTTTCTGAGTGCCAAATCACACTTAATTAGCTTATTTAGCTTGAGGGGGAAAACAACTGCAAAAAAGCTTGAAAAGAAAAGTCACATGAAATATTTTCTCCAAAACAGGGAAAAAAAAGAAGTTGCTGGCAATAACAAAAACATGTCATTTTATATTATGTTTTTCTTACTTGTAGCTCATTGAAACGATGAAGAAATTCTGAAGTGCATATTCTACGCTTTCAATCAATGCTACATTTGGGTTTTGTAAGTAGAAAAGGAGATATTGTATTAGGATTTGAGTCCGATGAAGTAGTTGTTGTGTGTCTCGTTTTGCAGAAAGAAAAAACTTCCTGTACATTGTTGCCACATTTTTGTAATTTGCTGACATCCAGACAAACAGAAAATAAGGGCCCTTAAAAGTGTCAGTACAGGATGTAAATGTAACTGATCATGTAATCATGTCAAAATTATGTCAATAATGAGTTTATTGGGTGTTTCTGAAACTACAGGCCGATTTTATGTGTGTGTGTGTATATATATATATATATATATAAAATATAAATCTTTACCTTGGCATGTGCTTACCACAACAGAGTGTCGCAGTAACATTTTCTGCTTTTCTGTATAAATGGCACCAAGCTTGACCTATTACATCAGCTTTGGCAGACAACATCTAGTATATTTGTATTTAACATCAATAAGTTTTAAATTTAACATCACTCTTTGTATAGTGAAATGAGTCAATAAGTCTGATTCAAAATGCATTACTTAAAAGCACTAAAGATGTAGAAATTATTCAATACGAAAAGATTATATTTTTTGGCTCACTTACGTTTCCACTGAAAGTAGGTTAGAGAATGTTATATTGGTGGTAAGTGTCAAAAGGATATATAAATGTGAGACATATATTTTTAGATAAAACTGACATAAATGGCTGACTAACAACGGTATGTTTTGAACATTTACAGCCATATGCCAAAGTTTGTACATCCCTGGTCAAACTACTTGTTTTGTAGATTTTAGGCACACTTTTGAAGTTAACGCATGCCATAACTTTTGCACAGGCCACATTTGATGTTTTTTTTTTTTTTCCAAATATGTGAAATGCAGCAAATAAACAGTAATGTGTATTGAAATGTGCAGAAGAAATCAACAAAACATGCCATTTGACCATCCTAAACTTTTGCATACAAATGCATTTAAAGACTGAAATCACAGATATGGGACAAGAATAAAAGTGGTATTTTCACCCATAATATGCTTTATAAATTCAGTTACTCCTTTTATTTAGCAACAATTTGCATATGACATTTGTAAACTATTGTATATGCTTTATGCTAAAAAAGCAAACATACACTCTTAAAAAGGGTTCTTTAGTAAACACAATGGTTCTAAACAGAACCATGAACATTCCTTGCATGGTGAAGTGGTTCCTCAGATTGATGGAGAATGTGTTGTATATGGTTCTATATAGAGCCTTTTTGAAAATGGCTCTATATAGCACCAAAAAACGTTCATCTATTGTTACAAGCTTGACATCATACCCATTGCAGAACCCTTTTTTGGTGCTACACAGAAGCATTTTCAAAAATGATCTTTATAAAACATATATATACAACACATCCATCTATTCGACGAACGACTTCACCATGCAAAGAACTATTTAATCAAGCAAATGGTTCATGAAGTGTTCATGATTCTATATAGAATTGTATTTACTAAAGAACCCTGGAAGAACTATGTTTTTTAAGAGTATATATCCAGAAATCTACTGCTGGGACCTAAATGCGTACATAGTGCTCTCCACTTCTTAGAGTTAAAGCTTATTGACCGGACCCGACATGAGGATAACACCACTTTCCATCTCTTCCAGTTTGAGAGATCACACACTACAAACATTCAGAGAGCCAAATAACAGATAATTAGTTTATTTAGCTTGAGGGGAAAGAAGAAAAAAACTCCCTATCAAAGCACCAAAAGCAGACTAACATGAAAGATTTTTTGAAAAACAAGGAGGGAGGGAGAAAAAAAAAGTTTAAAAAAGGAAAAAAAAGAAAAAGTTTAAAGAGGCTCAAATTTGAAAGCAGGTAAATAAAGAAGAAGAGTGGAAAAGGGTGTCTGTAAACTAGTAGGCAAATACGGCATAACAAAACAATAGCAGCACACTCTCGCTGATGACGACAAAACTGCAGGAGCGATTAAGAAAAGAAGCAAAAGGTGGGAGAAAAACATGCACCAAAAAAACCCCTCAACTTCAACATTTTCGCCAATTGGACTGGATCCCCTTCTCTTACATATTATCATTAACTAGAAAACTATTAAGAAATAATGATATAACTTCACATGGAATGATTCCAGTGTATTATTTAGACCTTTTAAAGATCACTCCCTGTATTTTTAAAGGGAGTACAGAGTCCTATCTAAGTGTTCTATTCAACATACAGCAAAAGTTTTGATGAATGATGAAATACCTCTGAAAACCACTCAGATTTGTTATTCAGATCTATCTGAAAGTTCTTGGTGTGGCATAATATTCTTATAAGCATGCTCAATTGACTTGTCTTGGTCCAAAACTCTTAGTCTGCTATGTTACTCAGGCAGAACTAATGTTAAAGGGGCCCTCGTGGTACTTCTTTTTTTCTTTCCCTGAGGTCCATTTATAACGTTTGTGTGGTTTTATGTCATAATTCTTTTTTTACATGACCATTTTCCAACCTTTCTTTATCCCTTGTAATTAAACAGGTTTGTTACTGCACCTTTAAGACTGATATATGTAAATTATCTCTGTTCTGATTGGCTGCCCTGTATTGTGCCTCATTCATAAAGCAGTGCATTCATGAACACTCTTTATTACTTCAGTTTGGAGAGGGTGAAGCTAAACTGTTGTAGGCTGAATAGGTGGATAAATGTAAATGTGATGGCTTTTGTGACATCACAAAAATAGTGCGCTTTGCAGATTAGTTTCCATATATGGACTGTATGAACAGTTAACAGTGCTTTCAAACTACATCAACCTCAACAAAACATATATATATTTATTTTTTTTAGTATCAGTATTTTTCCAGTCTTTGCCTTTACTACAGCTTCCTCCGAAGTTCAGTCTTAGAAGTTGGTTGCATCTCGCTTAAATGTTATTAAATTCTTTAAACAAAACTTTTGAATGATTTTTAAAGATGTGGTGCCATGAACTTCAGAAACTTTTTTTAATCAAGTCAGTATATTGTTCGAAACCCCTCTGTCAGCTTAATGTGCAATAGAGACTATGGATAGGTCAATTATTACAGTAGGCTATGCATGCTGGGTAAGCCTTTATTCACCAGTTTGCTTTCATGCATTTGAAATTTTAAGAGTGAGATTGTTCAAACAGGAATGCATAGTTCTGATTTTAATGAGACAAGCAGTATCAGCATTGTGTTTGGTGATCTTAATCCATGTGATTTACTCAAGATTAAGACAGCCTGATTTAATTTGAAGAGGCAGAAATTATGACAAAGTGCTGTGCAAAAGTCAGAGACCAGCCTTCATTTATGTAATTTCCAAAGTAGCTATTTTTTACTATTTATTTATTTATGTATGTATGTATGTATGTATGAATGTATATAAAGGGCAGACACTGTACATTCATTACAACTTCCATTTTTTTCTGGAGACTTGCTTTATTTTTGCACACCTGCAAAATTCAGTCTTAGAAGTTGGTTGTATTTTCTGCTTCTCTTAGTCCAAATAATCCCAAACACGTTCAGGGATGTTGATGGCTCTATTTGATGTGCAAATATTCTTCCTTTTTATCTATTTCCTTTTCTCTATAAGAGCTTCTTGACAGCTACACATCCTTTCAGACTCAGTCTTGTCAATTGTCATTTTTTTTTCAATGGTTACTGTGTCCACCCTTTAGCTTTATTACATCATCCATTACTTTTCATTAGACTTGCTTTCAGTTTTTCAAATAAATCTGCAGAGATATTTTTTCCACACCTCCAAAGTTCAGTCATAGACATTGGGTGCATTTTCTGCTTCTTACAGTCCAAGTAATTCAGTGATGTTGAGGTCTGGACTCTGGGGTGGACAGTCTATTTTTCTGAGAACACCAGCATCTTCTTTGCTGGATTTACAAATTTTCTTTTTTGTCTGTTTCCTTTTCTCAGTAACAGCTTCTTAACAGTTACACATCCTTTCAGACTCATAGTGTCGAGTTCTCACAGTGGAAGGATGGACAGAAACACCTCTGGGTTTTTTCAGATCTGAAGTAAGAGTGGAGCTTGATTTTCTCCTCTCTCTCAAAGATGAAAGCTTTAAGTACTGTTTATCTGATGGTGACAGTGTTGGTGGTCTGTCAGGTCTTGCATGGTTGTGAGGAGTCACATTTTCTCTATCTTTTAATATTTCCAAAACTTTGATTCAACTTTAAAAAATTCTCTTTTTTGACTTTCTCTTTCATTATTCAAGTAGATTATCTTATATCTCATACTCGAAATACCTCATAAAAAATGAATACAGCGTGTACTAAATTGGCATTTTGACTGGAGATAAATCAAATAAAGTGAGGACTTGCTGTACATGAAGACTTTGGAAAGTTTATAGGGTCGACATTGTCTTGTGGGCACACAATATATATATGCACTAACATTAACCTAATTAGAAAGCCCTCATAGATTTAGGTTTCCTGGGGCTTTAACTTCAGTTCAAAACACAGTGATGGGCACAGGAGGTTGCGGTTGACAGCTTTTCAGTTCCACCTCAGAGGTGCTAACAGCGACTCGCTCATGTGACAAGGTTGAAACAACACCCTGCATGAATAGTGACACTAAAGTTCCCTCGTTACTTCAAAACCTGTGGGCCGAAAGCGCCGGAGAGAGACAAAGTGCCGACACACATCCATTACCGGCACGCCCGAGGTGGGATGTGTATTTGAAATCGTACTAGCGGGGGAAAGACACGATTGCTTTCAACAGACAGGAACTGGTGGTCTACCCGCTCGCTTGGCTTGCTTAAGAGAAACAGAAATGAAGATTGCACACTCCAGCGATCCTAAAACTAATGCCGGAACGCTCCGGGCGATAAGGGGAGAGAGGGAGGAAAAAAAAAGGCACAAAAGGACAGGAGGATTAAACAGCAGTGGAGCAGAGAGCTAGGGAGCTCCAATTTGAAGAAGGAAACCAATGTGATAACTCAAGGGGATAAGTGAAAAGCTTTAATATGGAACATTTTCTGGCATTCCCGTTCAGCGTAGAATAGATTCGGATCTGCTTTACAGCCACTGTCTTTTCTTTTTACGGTCTCTTGAAGATTGAGTGATTGACAGCTATCGTCATCGGCAAGGTGCGCTTTCACATTTGGTATTCCAATGAGCAGAATGTCAGAGTCTGCCTTAACAGTTTGTGCAAATGTTACAAAGCTGTTAACCCTTCAGTGCATCTTTGTTTTGCCAACTGTTTATACCTCAGATTGTCTTTCTACCTCAAATTGATCTACACATTTTCAGTACATTGTAAAACTGTCAAAACATTTTATTTACAATGACAGTATAATGCAATGACATATATTTTGTTGTAGTTTATTTTATTTGCCATTTATCTGACGAAAACGGCTGATGTAGAGGGGAAGAGATGGAGTGATGTTTTGCCAGCTTCCTGAGGTATGCATTTAACGGTCAACTCATTAAACTCTGAGGACCCACTGGAGGGTCCAGATTTCAATTTCTCACTCTCATAACTAGATACCCAGGGTGGGCAATATGACAATGCTATTTTTATCATCAGTTCTTCTAGAATACTGAACAGCTGCATGTATCATAACAGTTTTAGACCAATTATAGAGCCTATAAACAGCTATGACCAGTGTATAGTAATTGCATATTAGCACATAGCTGATTAGCATCTACTGTTTGATTTTTTTTTCCTCTTTCCTTCTTTCATAGTTTATTTCTGCATATACTGACCCAGACAGCGAGCATATATTGGTCCGCAAGCTTGATAAGGTCAGCGCCCCGCTGACAGTTTGCCACTGCTGATCAACCCTCAGACCACCCAGATTACTGTCCTGCAGACCAACTCTAACATGTTTTTAATCTCCTCAAACAGATTTTAAATGCACACAGACTTTAATTTTGGAAAATAAACTAAGACAAATATTACAAACAACTGAGAGGAAAAAAATGACTAGGCCTAAAATAAAATGATTTTGTAGAAAATGTTAAAATTATTTACTAATTTATAAAGTATAACTAAAGAAAAATCTGTAAATTGGACTGTGAGTGGAAAATGAGCGATGACAAATTTGTCTAATACTCTGCTTAAACTGGTAGGGCCACCTAGAAAACGCTGAGCAAAACGCTAGTGGACTGCCACCTTTGCCATCAGCGGACCAACTGTGGCCCGCTATCATCTTGCTATCAGGGGAATTAGAAAAAAAAACACACACAATTCCATTCCACTAACGGAATGGAAATTGGCACTGATGTAATTAATTAATATAATAAAATAAAATATTTACCCCAGTAATACTGCCTGCCACTTTTGGCTCTCTGTGTGTGGAATGCTGTGACTCTGTGTGGAGCTGCTAGTGAGCAATGAGGGGTGAAAAGGGAGGAGTGAGAACCCCCTGCTGTGGAAACAATTCACACCTCTCCACAGATGTTTAACCACTTTTATAAATGCTGACTTGCTTGCTCGCCTATGAAGACGAAAATTTAGTTTGCTTCCAGTTTTGTAAATTTTACACAGTTATATCAGAAGATTTTTCGTCAACATTATTGAAGAAAAAATGCATAGTACAAAAACATAAGGAGCTTCAAAACTTTTTGTCCATTCTGACTTAAGCTAACCCCAGTAGTACCAAATTTTGTGATATTAATTATATATACTGAAAATGTCCTTCTCTTTGCGTTGTTATATGGTTGCCTTATCACCCGCACTAACATATTAGCTTCAAAGCATTTCCTGAATCAATTAAAGTACTGTTATTATGGAAAAATGAGCCTTGCTCTCTTAAAAATTAAGGTTCCTAAATGGTTCTTTGTCTGTACATGCGACACTAGGAAAAACAAACAATTAATATAGAACCTTTCCCTGTGGAGGTTCTTCAAAATTTAAAAAGATTCTTAACATTTGCACATCTCACTTACAAAAATGATTAAAGAACCATCCACTGAGAATGAACCGTAGTGGTTCTTCTATGGTATTGCTCAAAAGAACCTTTTTTGGATCCATATGGCACCTTTATTTTTAAGAGTGCAAGATTGTAAACTGAATTATAAGCCTACACTGTTAGCAAAAAGGGTTTTATATAGTACCCAAAAAGGTTCTATGATGTTGTAACAACAGAGGAACCCTTTTTGGCACTAATTAGAACCTTTTTTTAAAAAACAAAAGGTTCTTTCATTGACCATATACAACAGATTTCCCATCATTCTGAAGAGCAGAAGAACCATTTAACCATAAAAAAACATTTATGTACTTAAATGGTGCTTTGAATTGTTATAGTTCTATATATAACCACTTCCTTTACTCAAGGACCCTTGTAGAACCCTTTTTTAATGTAGAGTGTTTGGGGTTAAGAGAAACAGGGCAGTGTCTGGGGGAAAATGAAGCTTTCACTAACTCAAATGAATCAGACTCAGCACCCTGTTGCTTTTTAAAATGCCTCATTTACACATACCAGAGATGCCTGGTGGGGACTGTGGGCTGTTTGACTGCAAGCAGCGCTCCTCCTTTGTCCAGGAACCAAACATTGTGCTCCTCATCAAATATCTGAGGGAAGAGGGCGAAAGCTCAGCTCAGAGTCCCAGCTGGATTCAGTTAGAAAACAAATTGTGCAGTTATCAGATGCTGAGCTACTTTTAAAGATCAAGTGAGAACTACCAAGACTGTTAATACACAGTATATTGTTACTGAATAGCACATCAGTAGGATGTGGTCCTTTGCACTGCGCATGTTTGCCCTGATCTTACACAACTGATTAGGCTCACAACAGTCTTGATGGATAGTTAATAAGCTAAAGGTATGCCAGCACAGGGAGAACACCAGACAGGGCATGCAGGCCCCAGGCTGGGACTACTCTACCAGAATATGTTGTATAAAATGCATTGAACACCGTCATCGCTTATTATACTGTAGACTGTCTGAAACTCGCAAACTCTGAGACTGCATGTGCTATCACTAATAACACTGTTATTTCACTAATTCAAAGCTAAGCGGCAGAACCACAAGGAGAGAGTGACTAAACATGTAAATGCCACGTACCTGTCTCCAGCTATTGCCAGCGTCAGATGATATGAACATGCCTACGTTATTGTAGGAAAGCTCAGAGCCAATGTTTCCTAAGGATATAGGAAAAGCAGACAATGCATAATTGTTAAGGGAGGGCATAACCAAGTGGGAAACAGTGAGACAATAATATGAAGTTAATCACAAGTAAACAAATAGTTGTTACAACCCTGTTTTTTAAAAAAGTTGGAAAACTACACAAAATGCAAATAAAAACAGAACACAATGATGTGCAAATCATTTAAACCCTACATTTAATTAAAAATAGTACAAAGACAACACATCAGTGTTGAAACTGAGACATTTTATTGTTTTTTGAAAAATATATGCCCATTTTCAATTTGTGTCAGCAACATGTTCCACAAAAGTTGGTACGGGGGCTTGTTTTCCACTGTTGTATCATTTCTTCTTTTGCTTCTTTTACTCTGTAAGCGTTTGGGAACTGAGGAGCCCAATTGCTGTAGTTTTGAAAGTGAAATGTTTTCTCATACTTGTTTGATACAGGATTTCAGCTGCTCAACAGTTCAGGGTCTCCTTTGTCATATTTTTCATATATTTCATTTTTTTCGTTTTTTTTATTTATTTTTTTTTAATTTTTTTTTTAAATAATGCACCTAATGTTTTCAGTGGGGACAGGTCTGGACTGCAGGCAGGCCAGTTAAGCACCCGGACTCTTTTACTATGGAGCCATGCTGTTGTATTACGTGCAGAATGTGGTTTGGCATTGTTTTGCTGAAATGAACAAGGCAAGGCCTGAAAATGCCGTCATCTGGATGGCAGCCTATGTTGCTTCAAAACCTGTATATATCGTTCAGGGTTAATAGTGCCTTCACAAATGTGTAGGTCACCCATGCCATGAGCACTAATAGACCCCCATACCATCACGGATGCTGGCTTTTGATCAAGCCAGATTGTCCCTCTCCTCTTTAGCCTGAAGACCATGGCGTCCATGATTTCAAAAAAGAATTTCAAATTTGGATCAATTAGATCACAGGACACTTCCACTTCACCTCAGTCCATCTTAAAAGAGCTTGGGCCCAGAGAACTTGTGTGTTTGGATCCTGTTTATATATGGTTTCTTCTCTGCATGGTAGAGTTTTAACTTACATTTGCGGATGCAGTGATGAACTGTTTTTACAGACAGTGGTTTTCAGAAGTGTTTCTGAGCCCTTGCAGTGATTTACACTACAGAATCATGTCTGTTTTTAATGCAGTGCTGCCTGAGGGCCCAGAGATCACAGCCAGTATAGATTTTCGGTCTTGTTCCTTGCATACAGAGATTTCTCTGGATTCTCTGAATCTTCTAATGATATTATATACAATAGATTAAGAAATCCCCAGGTTCTTTGCTTATGTTATTCTTGAATTGTTGCACTATTTGCCTGTGCAGTCTTTCACGGAGTGGCAAACCCCTCCTCTTCTTTACTTCTGTAAGACTCAACCTCTCTGGGATGCTCTTTTTATACTGTCATGTTACTGACCTGCTGTCATTTAACCTAATTAGTTGTGAGATATTTAACACAGTGTTTTCATGAAACATGTTGTTGGCATCAAATTCAGAATGAGCATATATTTTTCAAAAAACAATAACGTTTCTCAGTTTCAACGTTGATATGTTGTCTTTGTACTATTTTCAATGAAATATAGGGTTTAAATGATTTGCACATCATTGTATTTTGTTATTTACATTTTGCACAGTGTCCCAACTTTTCTGGAAACGGGGTTGTATTTGCTCTGTGCGTGTTTAGAGATTTTCTGAATGAACAGCAGTTGATTGAATGGCTTAGACATTGTGCAAACAATCTGAAATCAGTCTACAAATTATGACCAATACAGTCCAAGCATAACACATCAGCATGAAACCTTATGAACCCATATAGCCTTTTCAGTAGACCAAACACAAATGATGGCCAGTCAGAGTTTTTACAATGGCCTCTGTCTGTAGTTGATGAGAGGTCTCAAAAGAAGATGTCTACCAGACCGATCTTTTGACTTTGGTATGGTACGCAACATATATTTTCCTAGGAGAGTAGTTTAGTTTTTAACTACACTGCATTTGTAATGTTGAACTCGTGTTACTTCAGTGTTGGTCTAAGTGGTCCAAAATATTTTATTTTCCTATTAAAATCACGCAAGTTATACTGTGCAAATTTGTAACCTTCATTGCTGAAATATGTCCATGTGTTGTTCCACTCAGATTTGGCCATTTTGTTCAATGTGAGATCACCAAACGTTTCTGTGAGGCACAATATTTCAGTCACCTATAATCTATCATTCTGTTTCATCAAATAGTGCAGTTTTCTTGTGTTCAATTCTTGTTAAAAAGGTCTTGAAAATATTTTTCTCTTGCCTTTTTTTAATTATGCAAGTTTAAAAAGGCAAGTCATCCTTTGGATTATGTTACACTTGCTGTTTTGTTTTTTAACAGGTAATCAGTAATCTGTAACAGAATACATTTTTAAAGTAACCCTCCTAACCCTGCTGAAGTGTGAGAGGCTACAGTTAATTTTATAGCAACATTGTCCTTCAGATGCATTCAAAGAATTGAAAGCAGCCAGTATCAACCTATTCATGCTCCATCCACAAAAGCATACTTTTGCAGCTAATGTTGCAAGGTTGAAGATCTCATTCAAAACCATTAAACCTATTCAGAAATTGTACACTCATCTAAATATAATGTTGCTAATATAAAATGATATTATTTTGTGTCATTTGAAATTAGCATAGATACAGGGTAATTTTTCAGACTTGCCATCAAGCCAGTGTTAGTATGTATGCACGCTTAAAAATAGTGCATGCATACGAACAAAAGTAACAAAAAACGTTTTTTTGAAGGATGCCAAAGAAGAACCTGTTTCCTTAAGTAAACTTTTAATGAATGGTTCTTTAACTCTGTTGAACAGAGCATCTCGATGGTGATCCATTCTGAGAATTTGGCGCTGGCCACTTAAACTTGTTTAAAGTCCCAGGGAATGTAGTGTAAATTATTAAAAATGTTTGTATGGTACTAATAATAGTGTTATATCAAAACATACAGTATGAATGAAACAAAACAAGATAGAAATCTGACAAAACATGGCCTAAAAATCGCTTATTAGACCTATTAGTAGATCTGAGAACTCTCTGGCCATGGTGCTAATATTCTGGTGAAAGCACATGACTGACAGCCCTTAGTCCAACTCTCCCGGCCTGCTATACCACTAAAGCAAAACTGAACACAACAGATCTAGTGAGGATAAATGGAAAAAAAAAAACTTGCAGGTCAAACTGTAGACCCCACTCTGATTGCTGCTCAATAAAACCATTATCCAGCTTTTATATAGAGACATTTTGAAGAAGTCACTTCACTTATTCTGGATCTTGCTAACTGAGTTATACCTGCAAGATTAGCTTTAGTTTGTCTCTTGGTAAATGTATCCACCGTAAACATAGAGAGACTGCTGGAAACCCCTTCTTTAATGATATGTTGGCAGAATATCCCACATCACCCTTGTGATGATGAGAACATTGGTTACGTACACACTGCCCAAGATTAGGTCAGCCCAGTTTACATGAAGAGAGGACAAATTTGGCAAAATGTGTCTTTTTAGTATACATTGGAAGATTATTCAGAGGACATCCTTTGTACATGTATATTGTGTGCCCACAAGTGCAAAATGAACATAGGTTCCCTGGGGCTTTAATCAAAGGCGTTACAGTATGTGCACACCCATGGTAACCTCAGTGAAATGAATAAGCGTGTAGAATTGGAGCTTTCTGTGTGTTTCTAGTGGCACAAGACTTCCTTTATTGTAGGATGCAATGTGATTTACCACCCACCACTGTGAGCTCATTCAGAACTCTGTATCAGTAGAAACTTATTGCTTTATTTAATCAGTGTGACAATAAAATATGTCTGATGTGTAATGACTTATATTCCTATTTATGTGTTTTCATGTTCATAACCTTTGTGACACAAATTAAATAAAAATCTACAAATGGGTTTTATTACGTCACAATCTTTACATGTGTCTGTGTGAGGAACCTTTTCAAAGATTAAAGAACTTCCATTTAATGTAAAGGATCTATACCATTTAAGGTGTGTTCCTAGAATCTAAAGGCAAAAACTGGTTAGAAACCTTTCTTTTTAAGAGTGGCTGAAAATACACTGTATGGTTAAAATATGTGGACACCCCTCCTCCTGATTGAGTTCAAGTCACATTTTTTCAGTCATATTCATTGCTAACAGGTGTATAAAATCAAGCACTTCACCGGTATCTTCCGAATTTTTTTCTTAAATGTGTTCTTGAGAAAGGTCATAAAAAAGTCTACGTCAGATTCCTGATGTATTCTTAAACCACAGAACTGTTTGCACCTTTGTGCTCTTGAGTGTGTGTAGATTCTGTTCTTACCTAAGAATAAATCCCAAATAAGAAAACAGTGGTGAATGTCAGAACCTTTGTGAAAACTGCATAAGTGGGTTGTAAAAAGAAATTTCTCTCTTAGAATGGTTGGTGAATGAGGCCCAATAACTTTACAAACATGGCACTGTCATAGGACGCCAACATTACCACAAGTCAGTTTGTGAAATTTCTACCCCAGTCAACTGTAAGTGATATTATTATGAAATGGAAGCACCTAACAGCAACAACAGCTCAGCCACAAAGCGGTAGGCCACGTAAACTCACAGAGAAGGGCTGCCGAGTGCTGAAGTGCATAGAAATAGGCTATCCTCTTTTGCATTACTCGCTACAGACTTCCAAACTGCTTCTGGAAGCAACATCAGCACAAGAACTGTGCATTGGGAGCTTCATGAAATGGGTTTCAATGGCCAAGCAGCTGCACGCAAGCCTAATATCACTATGCAGTGCCAAGCGCCGGCTGGAGTGGTGTAAAGCAGACCACCACTGGACTCTGGATCAGTGCAAATGTGTTCTCTGGAGTGAAGAATCATGGACAAATCTGGGATTAGCAGATGTGAAGAAAACACTACCTACCAGACTGCATAGTGCCAACAGAAAAGTTTGGTGGAGGAGGGTTTTCAACTCCATATGAATACGAATACCCATGATTTTGGTATGGGATGTCGAATAAGCTTGTCGAATGTCGAATGTAGGTGTGATGGTCTGCATACTTTTGGCCACATAGTATATATGTAGTTGTCATTACCAACCTGTATAGCTACAACACCGTAGTATAGCTTGTCCAAGTTAGCAACAATAACTACAAAAGAATGCATTTGCAGGATAGATTAACTGGAATCAACCATCCAGTTGCTTTAGTCTGTTTCACAGCAAAACTGCACTAGATCCAGAGGCCTGGAACAAAAGGCGGTTAGAATTAGGACTACTTCACAGCACGTCTCTGTAGCCAAGTTCACCTTTTGCATAATTCAGTCACAGCCTTAAACATACTCCTGCATACTGAAACACTCTCAGCTGAAATTAATTATATTTGTCATGTTTGTCACAGATGTGTCACAGATGACTTTGAGCCTCTGCCTACTGCCTATGTACGTATGCATGCGTATGTATATGAGTGTTTTTTACTGGGGCACCAGTTCATGACCTCAGATTCCATTGCAGTCATAATGTGTTGTGTCATGTGCCCTCGTTCAGCCCTGAGCTTTCCAACTAAGAGCCATTCCCTGTCATGATGAAATGTGCATACACATACACAGTCTCTAGTGTCACACGCGCCTGAAGCAACCGCCGTTACTGTCGTCTATTCCCACACAATTGAGACGAATTGGGGCCAAGTTACTGTAAATGCTCGAATTGCCTCTGAAGGATTTGAAGACGTGCTGAATGCTACTGGCATGACTGATGCTTACGTGAGCAAACAGTGGATGATTAGAACAACTGCAGCTCCAAGTACTGCCATTCAGGCATGTTTTCTAACAGCTTAACGAGATTTGCTTAAGTAATTGATTGTACTCAAGCACATACACACTTAAGTACATACTCATTGTCAAGGCTTAGGAAACACAGGCCTAACACAGATATTGACTAATGCTGTAAACCTTAGTGCAGAACTTCCAACCATTATTCACAGTTTTGTTTGTTTCTTGTTATCATTAAACATTCCTTTCATATGTTTTTTGTGTTACAAGTAGGGCTGTTAGGCGATTAATCGTAATTAATCGCATTATTTTGTGTAGTTAATTATGATTAATCACATTTATTTCTTTAAATTTTATGCTAAAGAAAGATTATTTCATTGTAGAACAGTCCACTTTGTTATAGCTATATTATGGACAAAATAAGCTCCATTAAAATGTATACATTACTTACAGTAATTCGTGAAATACACTACAACTAATTCACATGAACTTAAGCATTAGAAATCACGTGATTTCCATAAAATGAACACGGTTTCTGTTTTTCAGCACTGACGTCATGTGAGAGCAACAGTATATGCATGTTCCATTTAAACATTTGGGGAAAAAAAAACAAACTGTGGCCTGTGTAAAAAGTTATGGCACATTTTATACTTAAGCTATACTTTAACTGGAGGTGTTCAAAGTGTATACGACTGTATATACTATGATTGTAGTCAATCAAACAGCTAATGGATTCCTGCCACAGCGGAGCATCCTGAGAGGAACTGAATCCTTCTCTTGCTTTTGTTGGTTCACTGCTCATTTATTTATCCATAGGTTGGTCAGCGTTAAACAAATTCACCATCATAGTAGCTGCAAATAACTTTTGTTTTATCAAATGAACTGTCAGTGGGACTTCTTGCCATTTAAAATCTGTATTTGAGAGAGCTACAGATGCACAGTCATAGCAACAGCACACAAGCAGCTGGGCTTCAGGCTGGTTTGATGGGTCAATGTAGGAAAATGTGCTAATGGTGCTAAAAAATGTAATTTATCTTGTTAAAGCTTTACTTTTAATGTCACTAATTACAAACACACTTCTCTAAAGTTAAGTTTCTAAAAGTTGATGCCTTTTACATGTTTTTGTTATCTCAGCCATGATAGAAGTTTGTGTTTGTTAACCCTTAAAAGTTGCAGTCATTGCTTGCCATAACAATAGGCATGTAATTTTATGCTGATTAGTTCTCACTCTGTCATGATTTCCCCTGTCTGTCTCTTTCCTTCTGTTTCTGCCCCAGGCTCATCTTAGTCACTCTACCTGCAACCATGTGCTTTTGTTGTTGTTTTGGCTTCTGTCTCCTCTCTTGTTCTGCCTTTATTATCCCACCCACCTGTGTTTAGTCTGTAACCCAGCCCTCATCATTAGTCCCAGGTGTCTTGTTTGATCTCAGCATTTTTATAGTTGGCTTAAGCTGCATTCGAGTGGTGTCAGAAACTGGGAAATACCAATTTATCTCCTTAAACATGAACAGTTTATACTTAATGGATATTTTTACTGGAGCTTAAACAAATGAATGGCGGTCTTTGGCACAGTACATAAGTATGTTTTGTCATGTTTCTTAGATGGATCATTAAACCGACTATCAGTTACTCAACATTATCTGATTTATTTTTATCTGTCTCACACACACATACTTTCACATGTTTCAGAAGCATTCACATTTTACCTGTGGCGACGATGACTCCCGGCACAGAGCTCTTGGTTGTAATGCTGCCGGACAGGTAGGGGTTTTCTGACATCTGAAGTTGTAGGTGCAGCGAACAAAATGGCTGAACAGAAAAGAAATGACACATAGTCCATTAGCCACGGTGAAGCTATTATGGAGCTGTCCATCAAATCATGCTGACGTGACACTGCAGATGTTAAACAGGGCTGATCTGATGGGGGAAAAACACACTAGAACCATCTTGTGAAAATGAGTAGTATTACAATAGCATTGCGAACGCTGTGTTTTGTGTTTATACACAGAATTTCACTTTTATTTTACTTTGAAATACTAGAGCTACTAAAAAGAGCATTACACTGAAGATATTGCTGTATACTTTGACTGTGCTGCCTCAAACCATCAACTGTTCAAAGGTGGCCTACAGGTATACAGAAAATTCATTCATTACTTCAATGTCAGGAAACTTTGAAAACTCTGAAATCGATCTGTAACATATTTTGTAACATCCTTCAAAGGGCCATAGTTTCTTTCCTTGAGATTTACTCACAGTATTTATGTATCAAAAAGTCATTATTCATTTTAAATAATCACTTTCTATCCTTTCTTTGTATAGCGCTGTTTACATAAGATGATAGGTGTAAATGAGCTGTGTTTTGACTGGCTGTTCAGTAAAATGTGTGGGCTGAAAATCTTCTTATTGCTCATTAATTTTGTCATATAATCACAAACATGTAGCACATTTCACTGTGGAGTGCTGAGTTTAATGAAGAAGCATTCGCTTGATAAAGGTGTTTCCAACTGCATATTCAAAAACAAGAACAGATCCAAACATGAACCAACCAAACCATTTATAATAATCATGATTAACAATGTAATGTTAATGGTTATTTCTGTCCTTTTTTTTCCAAGTCAAGGCAAGTCAAACTGGATACCTTCTGGGCCAAAGTGCTGGGGAGATTAGCATTTACTCTCATCTAACACTCTGAATTCAGATCATAACAGCCTTGCTAATTAGCTTATGAGCTGAATCAGGTGTGTTTAATAAGACAGTGTGCTGACGTCTGCAGTGTTTTGGCCCACAAGGACTGGAGCCTGACACATGTGCTAATTTGGCTAATTAACTACTAGCTTGCCGGTTAGCTTACTTTATTGGCTGATATGAAATGATGCACTGTACTGTTCTGCACACAGACTCATAGAACTGTCTACATTCACCCAAGATCATGTGTAGAATTACACTTCAGTTTTTCTCAGTCAAGTGTGAAAATATGAGCAAAAACACTCGTTCTGTGGCCTCTAGTATAAATGCTAACAGTGTTAGCTTCTTAAGTAGCCTTATGTTGAACTCTTTACAAAGTAATCATTCTAAAAATAGCAATCACTACGTCACCATACTGCTTGATCCCATAATAATGTTTAACAACTTCATCTGGAAGAGTAAAGGATTCACTAAATTGTCATTAGCTTTAGCTGCAAGTGATCCAACACAGAAGATCCCTCTGTGGGATTAATACTACTTATAGCAGCTCTACTTGCTGTAGGTAGATATAAGTAAAATCCATTATGTACTTAGATTAGATTAAGTGACGCTTATTAGTCTGACAATGGTAAAAATTTTGCCTCTGCATTTGAACCCATCCGTGCAGTGAAACGCCACATACACACTAGTGAACACGCACACTAGGGGGCAGTGAGCACGCTTGCCCGGAGCAGTGGGCAGCCCTATCTGCAGGGGTTAGGTGCCTCAAGGGCACTTCAGTCAGGTACTGTTGGCTCAGGGGATCGAACTGGCGTTCCCTAACCTCCAGCCCATACAGCTTCAAACATAACGTATTTTTACTGTTATTGCCAAAGTTTTACCTGTTTAACCACATTTTGTTTCCAAAAATTCTGATTTGGTCTCTTGGAGGACATCTGTAAATGTGTTTTTGTGACATTACAGTTAATTTGAAATGGATCCTTTTTGCAGCATAATTTTCATATTTGGACTGTATGCACTGAGGACTGAATGGTACGTTTTGAAACTTGTTGACATATTACATATAAACTACACTAAATTACTTTTTCCACTGGTGTCTTTTTGACATGATGCTAATCTAAGAGAAAAAAAAGATAAAGTATATACTGCAAAAAATCATGGATACACTGGTGGTTCACTTGTAAGTATTTCTGGATGGAAAACTACCACTTGCCTTCCATCAGAACTCCTGCTACAGGTGTTGCCACAGTCTATGAGCTACCACCACAGTCTTTACAAACACCATTCACACCAGATTCCAAAGTCCACTTGCAAATATTGAAATGCAGTTACAAGGATACTCATAAAAAGTGTTCTGGCGTCTCCCTGGCCAAACTATGGTGGCAAAGTGTGACTGTTAATACAAATTAATCCAGTTTAAAGTGCCCTCTGCAAAGACTCCGGCTCTTATTGTGTGTGTTAATTGCCTTTTACACTCATTAGCGACAATGACAGTGGGAGGATTTGGCATTAAAGCCGAAAAGCTTCTCTCGTGGGGCCTCCAACGCAACAAAAAAGACAATTATATCTGTGCACTCTGCGCAGCTAACTGTCGCCTTTCATCTTTTCAATGGCTAGCGTGACATTGTTGTAAGGACAGCAAGGGCGGCAGGATTTAAAGGCGGTAATCAAAAGGGTTATAGGTCCCTAATTAGGGTGTCAGATGAGCCTATCAAAGTTAACCTACAGTATTCTGGAATGACTCTCTTCCTCTCTCGCCATTTCTCTCTCTTTTTGTCCCTCTTAGCCTCACAGCAGCACTACAACCAAAACGCTAATACTGCTAATCATGAAATCTTGCTATACCAGTCGTAGAACCTGCTAATCGGTCCAAAGCTTTTAGACATTGTTAATTATGCTAACAGTCCTGGGTTAATGGTTGCTTTAAACTTTGTGTCTAGCACTTTCCAAAACCACAGCTAGACATTTACCTTAGCCTTAGCTTAGCCAATGTTTACACTGTGCATTTGTGCTTACAGTGTTGTTCTGCATAGTGATATCCTTTGTCCTTTTGAGTTTCACCACAAAAAACTACAGCCAAAATGCTAATCTTGCTGACAGGGCTGGGCGATAAAACGATAACGATAAGTATCGCGATATAACTTTTCCTCGATAGAGCGATAAGACAGGTTCGATAAATTTTCGATATAATACACCATTCTCACACTTCCACGTTTTAGCGAAAGCCCTGGTGGGGTTCCGAGTTTTTCGACTTGATTAGAGAGGGAGGAGCCACGAGTAAAAGGGGTCGCCAAATATACTTTAGCAACATCTGAAACGTGGAGTTATACATTCCCTGTTTGAGTGGAGTGACCGGTGATCTGTTCTCCTGTGACCGAGTGACGAGATAAGTGACGTAACGGTACTGTCCTACGGTGAACTCACCTCTTTCCGTGCATCCTAACAACTTTAGCGGTGTTAAATCACGTCTGCAGCGCCATGTTACAGTGCCAAACCGTCATATTTTAGTATTAGTGCATTCTCGAGCAACAAAAGTGAAAGAAAGAAGTGGGTTAATGTGAGTTACAGCTCTGATTTAAACGAAAGTAAACTGAGGAAGCTGTGAGGCATTGGGAATCTTTCCAGGCTAGCTGTTTTTAGCTGCTGGCTAACTTGAAGCAGCGCTCCGGCACAACACAGTGAATTGATGATACGGTAGATCAAACAAGACACAAAATCACCGCTTTCAGTTTAAACATGCCTAAAAGGAGGACTCTGTTTGACTGGTGTGAGAGAAATCCAGTCGTCGCTAGCTGGTGTCTGAATACTGTGATATGCTCTGACATGGATGTGGTAGGAGTGACAGCAGTGACCTACCGAACCGAGTTGACGTTGTTGAGAAACTAAAGAGTTTAGCACTGTTGTTGGCCACTTGTTTAGCATTTGTAACGGGGTAGCCGAGCGCTCGTCACCAGACAGCTAAAAATAATGTTTTCTTTCTTAAATTATGACTATTACAAAAATTGCAGCTGTGCTTTTCAAGCTGATAAAAACAGCTCAGAAACTTTCTCCCAGTCTCCCAAGACAGATTAGTGAAATGTTCCACTGTTTGGTGGGTGTTTGTCATGATAAGTGATAGTTTAAAACCACAATTAACCACCCAGGAGTAAAATCAGCCTTCAAACGTGAAAGAAATCATGATTTGACATTTATCGCGATATGTATCGATATCGAACGATATTAATTTTGTTTATCGTGATAACGTTTTTGGCCATATCGCCCAGCTCTACTTGCTGATAACAAAAGTTTGCTGAGGCTGTTTAAGCTCATGCAAACTGGTCCAAACTAGAATGCTATGCTAACAGTCCCTTTAAACTGTTGTGCCAACCATTTCTATTCATGAATGTTTCTGCTGCACCCAGAAAAGTCTTGTCCTGCCTCTCTCTTCATCCCTCTTATACTCAAAACAACACTACAACCACAATGCTAGGCTTCTAAAACTGAGAGTTCACTAGAACTGTTTAAAGGTTGTGCTAATTGGTCCAAATGTTTCTAGCTTTCTGTCATTGTTAGCTACACTAATATTCTTGAGTGATCGGTTTACTTAAACTGTTACACTTCCCAAGACTGCTGCCAGGAACCAACTACGGGGGTGCATTTGATTACTGAGTCAACAAAAAAAGGATCCTAGAGCAAAGCTAGCAAAAAGCCATGGTAGTGAAACAGCATAGAACAGTCTGAAAATGGCCACTAGTACAACTACATTTACCAGAATGCAGGAATGCAGCAGCAACCAGAAAAAAGAAAAAGTTTTCCTCATATGTATGTTTCACTCAGAGGTTCTTTACTCATGCAAGATTACATAAATCACCATTTCCCACCAAACTGAGCTAGTTTGAAAGTGTCGCAGGAGGAAATTCTAAAGTTGCAGGGTACTTTTCTTATTTTCTAAATGTATTATGGCGGTTTAAAAGCACTTTTGTTAGTAAATTACAGAGACTAATCAGCTGACTGGAATGTACTTTGAATTCCTCCATTTGCTGCCGGAGTGCTGCTTTACTCTGCTATAAAGAAGGTTTTCTGGTCACTGCAGCTGATCCTTAAAGCCAGTCAAGCTTGAAGTCCCTTTTCTAGCCAAGTTATATATCATGGTAGTTGATCTGAATTAGCTCTCTGTCCCTGTTAGCTACAACAACATTTCTTGGGTGAACCGTTACTTTAAACTGTCTAGCATTTACCAAAACTGCTGCTAGCCATTTTGTCTCTCTTTGTCCTTTCTAGCATCAGCAACCTAAGTGCTAACACTGCTAAAAAACATAGCCCAGACAAGTTAAAGATCATTCTAATTGGTCCAAACTAGCTTTCTGTTGTTGTTAGCAATGCTAACATTCTTGGGTGACAAGTTACTTAAAATTGTTGTGTCCAAAACTTTCCAAAACTGCTGCCAGCCATCTGCCCTTTGTGTTTCTGCTGCACTTAGAAATGTCTTTTATGCTTTTGAATGGCAAATAATATTCCTCTTGTTTGTCTCCTGTTTGTCTGTTTGCCCTCCTAAGCTGGGCCTATATTACATGACTTTTAAAATCTTTACAGATTTCTCAAATGGAGAGCATCACGAACTTAATGTCAGGTTATCTCAGAATTTCTTGTCTTTTTTTTGTGTGTGGAAGCTCACATTAGCTGACATGGCAAAGAGAGAGTATAACACACATGACGAGTTTCAGTGGCATATAAGAATTTCCCAGATCTCCTCAGATCACATGACACAAACAAAGCTAAACTTACTGGACTGGACCTGTTTGTGCTTTTATTTGTAGCAAAAATGCAAACTGTGCATTAATATGGGGTTGAAAAACACTGGTATCACAGTGAGAGCTGGAGAAATATTTTACTACAAATTGGCAGCTGACTTGAAAATTGTAAAAAGAGTGACTTAATGCCTGGATCTATACATTATAAACATGATAATGCATCTCCTCTGTCTCTGTGCCCTTTTCCCCTGTTTTCCAGCTCTCTGATTGGCTGTTATTTGAATCACTCACTGAGTTCATCTCTGACATTCTCACACTACAGGACTTGGGAACATTTTGAGTTGTGAATATCAAACATGTTCAAGTTCACTCGTTCCTCATGCTACCAGATCATCCACGCCATCTGTTGCTACCGATCAAACTCACGACCTGGAAAATATTTTCAGGTTGTAAACATTTGTTGCAAATCAGGTTTAAAACCGTGCAGTGTAGGCCCAGCTTTCGTCTCAGCGCTTGGTATGGAAGTACTGCTAATAATTAAAGCTTGCTGGCTCTCCTTCTCTTCTAGAGGCATGTTGGCGCCGTACAGTCAGCATAACAACTGTTTTAAAGACTGAATTTTTACAGACGAGCCATAAAATAATATATAAAATATGCATTTGATTTCAACTCATGGATCGCAGAGTGTATATTTGGCCGAGGATCAGTGACCCGAGCGGTTAAAGTCAAATTGCTAAACCAATGACGAAGCAGATATCAAGTAAGGTTTATCATTGTTGTCGATTATGATGACGCTAATCCAAAAGCCCGGTGAGTGGAGTGAGGTTTGGCTATTTAAAATGAATCAAAAAAAGCCTCAAAACTAGAGACATCTTGAGACCAAACAAGTATTCTTTTGGGAAAGCCAGTGGAGTATTTTCAGGGAAAACGCGATGGACCGCAGCTCTAAATCACTGTCCACATCTATCTTGTACCTTTCTATCCCCCCCCTCCTTTTTAACATTACTACAACCATGTTGATTCTGTTTTTCCTGAGGGCTGCTATGCTTTGTAGTTATACACAGGTGAGCCTTGGGGTGGAAAAGGTTGATAACCTTTGGCCTATGCTATCAAATATTATGACGTCATGACACAGATAATAGTAACATGACACTGTTATATCACTGTACATAATCTGTCATACCTCATGAGAGCATATATTTGCCATGACATGTCTATGGTATTGTATGCAGAAGAGTTCAACTAAAGTGTTACCACAACTACTTTAAGCTTTTGTGTCTAGCACTTCCCAAAACTACTGCCAGCATTTTCCCTTTGCGACTTTTACCTACTGCACCCGAAAATGACAAAAATAAAGAAGTTACCTGAGTTGCCTTTTATTATGGTGTCTAATGTTCTTTTGGATTGCATGCTACAGATCCTGTTATCTTTTATTGAATCCTTGGCAGGAGGAACATTTCTTTGTATGAATCGGGAAGTTAATTATGTGTAAAGTTGTCTTTTGTCTTAATAAAATACACTTGCAACTTAATGGGAATTTAATGAGAAATAAAACTTTTGAAAAATATGCTGTCACTTCGAGCAAGAGATTCTACTCCCACCTTTACTTACTAAGGAGGGTCACTGCTGATTGCAGATTTTCACCCTTTACATGGAAATGACTACAGTAGCCACCCACAACAACTGGCGACATCATTCATCTGTAGGTTTTAGCAGTGCTTGCTTTCTTTTTTCTTTGTTTCTTTTTATTGCTCATTTGTCATGGGTCATCCATTCATTCTCACTCTTTATTTTGTGTTTGTGACTTTCATTTTCTTTCTCTTTATTATTTCCTCAGTGCTTTCTCTCACCAGCACGCAGTAAATCTCGTTGCCCTCCAGATCAGTAGAGGGCGCCTGCAGCAGCCTCCAGTCTCGGCCCTTGTTGTAGGTGATGTATGTCTTCACCTGGTTCTCCACCTTCCTGTTAGCGATCAGCATGCCTTTAATCCCTGCTACCTAGAGGAAAAGGAGACAGCATTAACCAGAGGAACCCTTATGCACTTCCCTCCAAAAAGAGCTCGAACTACCCTCCTCCCTCACATCTCCACACTACCATTACCTGTTGCCTCTTCTTCTAATTACGCCTCCTAATTGCAGTGCACCACTTTCAACATCACAGATATAAAAAAAAATGTGAAGGTGGCAACACAGCTGCATCAATTTTGGAATATTAGAATCAATTACAAGCCATTATAAGCAGATTCAATAATGCAGGGGTCATCAGTTCTGGTCAGAGATGGATTCCTGCATACTTTGTTAGCCCCCTTTTACCCTGTTCTTCAGTGGTCAGGACCCCCATGGATCCTCACAGAGCAGGTACTATTTGGGTGGTGGATCATTCTCAGCACTGCAGTAACACTGATGTGGTGGTGGTGGTGTGTTAGTGTGTGTTGCGCTGGTCTGAGTGGATCACCAATGATCAATGATCCACCACCCAAATAGTACCTGCTCTGTGAGGGTCCATGGGGGTCCTGACCACTGAAGAATGGGGTAAAAGAGGGCTAACAAAGTATGCAGAGAAACAGATGGACTACAGTCTGTAATAATTGTAGAAATATAAAGTGCAACAATATAGTTAGTGGAGCTAAAAATGTACAATGAGCATAGAAACAAGGAGGTGGTCATAATGTTATGCCTGATTGGTGTGTGTGTGTGTGTGTGTGTATGTATGTGTATATATATATACACTAATGTGGCTTTTATATATATATATATATAGATATATATATATATATTATATATATATATATATATATACATACAGTGTATGTTTAAAAGTTCTGAATCATACCAAAAAAATCATAATTGTGGAACAATTTGAGGTACCATGATTCACTGAATCATTTCCTACGTTGAACTGAATCATTATGATGTCACAGATTTATGCCCCTAGCTGACATCAGGCTATTGGTTTCATTCACTGAACTGCACTAAATCTGTGCTAACCAAGGTTTTCACAATGTTTCACCACTGGAGGCCCCAGAATTGAGTCCAAACTTAGCAGCATTGAGTCATGACAGTGGAGCCGGACAACCCGTTTTTGAAATCACTCCACAGCGGAGGAGGAGCACAAGGAGCGACCAGGGTCCGCCTGGATAAGTGGCACTAATGGGCCACGCATTTGACAGTGTGGCACTGGCGCCGGCGGTTGGGACGGACGCGGCTAATGAGGGGCCCCCTCCTCTGCTGGCTGCCCACGTCAATCACAGTAGTGATTATTTATCGCCTCCGTCCCTCCACTCTGTGCTTCTCGAGAAGGACAGATGGGTGAAGCTTGGTACTGGGTTGCGGCATATCCGTCGCTGTCGAGAAACTGTGTTTCCACATTAAAAAAATAGTGTTCTCTGCATCACGCTGTGTTCACTAAGAGTGTTGGATTTCCATGTTCAGTGAGTGAGGCTCCAACAAGAGGAAAAGCATGAAGATGCTAACCAAAAATAGTCATGTTCTACATTCCACAAGTCACAAAGACTCCGGAACAATCACTCTGACACATGTCTCTTTTGGCTATGCTACCAGAATATTTCACAAAAAATGTAAGGTGGCTAATAACAAATGAAAGCTGTTTGAGGCCTTATAAGAACTTCTATACTTAAAAAAGAATTTGCCAAAGGGGGTTCTTTAGAAAGGTGCTAAGTGTGTATACTTCCCTAAAGAACCTCTCAAAGCATGGTTCTTTAAAGAATTGTTTTTGTAAATGAGAACTTACACATGATCTTTACAAATTAAAGGTTTTAGAACTGTACATCCAAGCCAAGAACCTTTTAGGAAGGCTTTGTAAAAGCATAAGAGTAGGACAGTCAATCAGCCCATAAAGAAAACTTCAAATTTAAGAGCTTTCAAGATTTTGTGTTTAATACAGAGATCATGACAAAATAAATCTTTTATACTGGCTTTTGTGTGCTTGTGCATCAGTAGGCAATGCTCAAGCATTACCAACCAATGAAAACAAGACCAGGGAAGGAAAGTGCAGCTCCAAATCAATTCAAATCAGCCATCATAACTTTCCTAAAATTTGCAGAAAAGCCAAAATAATCAATTCCTCCTGGTCAATATACCAATAAATATGAAAAATGTCAAGTCAGGAATCCCCCAACCTTTTGTCTGAAGTCCCAGCGGAAAAGCCTCCAAGCATTTCCACTAAGCCCTAATGAAGACTGCTGCAGCCTATTAGGGATATGGATACGCTGCTGATTCACTATTGGCAGGGTGAGCCCTCGTCAGGCCAGTGTTGGCAAAGCGTTGGCACTGTGTGTCACGACTGCTGCTTTAACGGAAACGTCTTGGTCAAAACTTGCTAATTGATTGCTATATTTAGCCCCAGCACGAAGAGCCAAGGATCCATCAATCCTCAAGCTCTTGAATCCGACTTTGGAGCCTGCTGCTAATTTCAGAATGCCCTGCCGTATGCGGCGTTCAATCTTATGCTTAACGCCCACATCTCCATTCCCAGAGGGATGGGAGCTGTTAAAGGAGATTTGAGCCATAGCAAACTTAAGTGGGAAGAAATTCGGTGATGAAAAAAAGGAGCTTTAAATCTGACTGTTAGCACTCCAACTGTCATTGCAGTTTGTCTAATTTACACCCAATTGAGGATAGCAAGGAGACGTAGTAGCATTGATCAGAGAGACTAATGGTGAAAGGGACTGATCAGCACTTGAAAAGACTAGGAGGCAGAGAGTGAGGACAATGCTTTCATTGTATTCTCCTGCTTCTCCAGCTATTGAACTGAGCGTCCTCCTTCTCTGAAGTAAGAATCTGAAGTCTCTCTTCACTCTTTCAGGCTATTACCACCTTCTAAAGCAAAGCACACTCACTAAAAGAAGTAGCGGTTGGTCCAAGCTCCATTAATGCAGTTGATGAATGTGGGGACAAATCTTTTCAGTCTATACATAAAAGCTGACTTTAAATTGAGGTCAGTTTAAGCAATTAAGCTGATGCAATTTGAAGCTCATGTGGATGAATGTGAATCTATGAACATTCACTTTTGCCAGTTCTGGTAATTTATACCAACTAATTTTACAAGAATCAGCAGACTCTGTGATAAAAACGTCATCTTTCATTTCAATTAATAGACCGCTATTTAACCAAGACTCATTGGGTCAGATGCTAAGCCTTTGGTACCATGTATCACTTGCAAAAATGATGTATTCTCCATGATTGTTGTGTATAAAACTGGCACATAAGTACAAAAGCAGTTAATGCAAAAACTCAAAATGCATTTCTATCATTTGAGCAAGGATTGCATAGTATTTTTAAGGCTTGTGCAGAAAATTATTACATATTCTATTTCAGTTACTAAAGTTTTGAGAACTTATGGTGGCCAGTTTTATATGAAATTTTCTCTCTTTGCAAATGATTAATTTCCAATGACTCACACACAAGCTAATTGAGTCCTAAGACCTGCTGAGCATGAGCAAGTCCATACCCCGCTACGCACACTCCAAACACATTCATACGTGCTTTGAAAAGTCTGTAAATTTGGCCATAAGCCATAAGATATGGACCATCCTGTACCTGCTGCCTCCATCTCCTGGGCCTTGTCCTAGGATAGCTGTAGCCCCCCCCCACCCCACCATGGTGAACATCAGTGTTACCTCACACTTAAGCTCGACAGTACCAGATGATTGGTATCTCCATCCCAGCATGTCCTCTCACATAATCCAGTTCCCAGGCTGCAAATCAATTCACCTTCTCACTCACCGCCTTACTTTCATTCGCGTTCGCGATGGGGTGGACATAATAGCTGTTGTAGCGACTTTCAGACCCTGCTGTGCATTCCGATAAGGACGGAAAAATAATGAGCCACCTAGCGTGTAGTGCAGGACCTGTGTGGGCATATGGGTGCGCAGTAGAGCTACACAATAGACAGCATTGTTTGTTAGTTGTTATTGCAATATTGGCTTTCCAATAGTGATATTGCAGAGGGCTACAATATGCAAATGAGCATCTATCCTATCAGAATACAATAGCTGTAAATAACTTAGGTCAAAATAATGAATGCAAGTCTTTCACAGCATTATATCAAAGGTTTGCAGTTTTGTCTTTATATATAGTAGTATTCTGATAGTCTACTGATTGTTTTGACAATTAGTCAAGCAATCAGATTTTTTAAAAATGGGTCAAAGAATAAAAAAAGACATGACTCAGAGTCTTCCAAATATTCTATATACTTCGTCAGAATAGGTCTCATTAGAATTACTAGTAGGAGAATTTAAAATATCCATTTTCCAGGGGGAAGCCAAGGGGTAGCCAGGGGTGGCCCCTCTGGCCACCCCAGTTAAATAAAATGAGACAGTCAGCCTGCACCTTTTTCTCTCAAAATGAATAGCTCCCTTTTTGATGAGTTTTCAGTGCGCAGTATGCCATGGTGTAAAACGTGTGTAAACTTAAAATTGTGCCTGGAAGGTAGTACATCTGTAATTTTACAAAATGGCTTTAAAACAACAGCCTGGTTGCACTCATGCCCCGTTTTTTTGCTTGTGCTTTCAGTTGACGTCATATGGCAGCATCAGCACTGACTTCAGAACACTCAGGCTGTGTCCCAAACCGCATACTACAGCTCTAAATAGATTGTAAAAAATAGTGTGCCACCATTAGAAGTGCATTCATTAGTGTAGTATATAAAGCACAGAAGTACATGGTTCGAGAAGAAGCCTGGTTAGCTTACATTTCACTAAATGTCCCCATTATAGAAGCAATGTCGTATGATACTCATATCAAGACGACGTTTTGAGTGTAAGTTTATCAAAAACCGATGAAGCTTTGTGGTGTTTTAAGTTAGAGTTGTACTGAAGTGTCACCTGGCGAGCTACCTGAATTCCTACTAAACACCCTGACCACTGTGGTTACATGTGGCTTCCCATTCGCCAATGTCTCATTTGAATTTTCAGTTCCACCTTAAATGGTGCAGCAGTTACATTCTGCCACCTGTACAAATGCCCACAACTGCTACATGATTAAAGGTGGAACAAAAAATTAGTTTGATTTGTTGAAGAAGGAGCCAGGTTCAGCTTCGTCGCGGTGACTATAGTCATTCTGAGTCGAAAGAAATTTTTCTCAGTAATCCGAAATCTTAGATTGCAATCAAATTCCGACCTGCGCCAGAAAATAAAATATTCAAAACAAAAAGAAAAAAAAAAAAAGAAAAAAAGCCAGCTGCCGTTTATGTTGCCATGGTTACAGTCACCGTGCATCCTCAGGCACACCAGTCAAGTGGAGCTTTTACAGCTTTTAGCTCCATCTAGATATGTTTTCAGATATGACTTTAGTTAGTAATCATCAACTCACATAGATCTAAGATTATTGATAACTAGATGGAAAAAATGAAGGTATAGTGCATAGTTTTCTGTTTCTAAGTTGAGTAATAAGTGGCCCAGCTAGCAATGGAATCATAACATTATATTTTATCCACACAGCCCTGGGTAGGTTATCTAGGGCTTTCAGTCTTGCGGGGCCAGATTTGATCTCTTAACAGGAACATCTGGGGACAACCGTAGCAAGCTCTGGGCTCACTATGGGTGGGAATGTAGACTTATTATGGCGGAAACAAACTGAGTGTGAAATTTCTAAACCAAGCTAAAGCCTTATGAAATCAGAGTGTGAAGTAGGGGGAGATGGTGTGCCTGTCAGCTGATGGACAACAAGCTTGTCATCAGCCCATGAATGTTACATAAGTTAAAATGGCTGAAAAGTCCTTCCCCCATAAAAGATTCTAAATTAGTATTAGTATTTCGTGTATTTACGTCTTACAAGGACAAAACAACTGCCTTAGCTAACAATAGTGTTTCACTGGCTAGCTTGTTTTGCTTGTGTTACCTACTGCTCTGGAGGTGAAAAGAGCACAGACTAATGTAATTCAGGGGTGTTTTTTGGAGGGGGGCGGTCCACAATCCAGCACCAAAAGTTTCACATGTTGTCTTCAGATGTGTATTCTCAACAGGAGATCACAAGACTAGGGGGCTAGTGCCTAATGAAGTCATGAGGCGATGAAATAAAGAAGTGCCTACCTCATACAAGTCGATCATGCTGTTGCCCCCCAGACCTCGTGTGGTTTTGACATTTTCCAAGGCCAGGGTGAAGTAGATGCCACGCGGGTCAGAAATGTACAAGTTGTAGGTGTCGTTCTGGTTCCACTCCTGCACTGCTGCAAAGACCTGACCCTGATCCGTGCTGAGAATGTGCATGTCCTGCACAGAAGGCAGAGAGAACGAAGGAAAAGGAAGGAGAGACAAAGACAGAGAAAGAGACAGAGATCATTAGCAAGGTATCCTGCTAGGACTCAGCAGGCATTCACTATAGGAGTCCAGTTGATTAACATAAAGCTTTGTCTAGCATGTGTTTTAATGGACATCCAACTGACCGCGAGAAGCTCACAGACCCAGAATGGGAAAGGAAAGATAATTTGCCACTTGCTAGAGTGAGTGTTAAAATGCAGAGCACGTATATATTGGTGCACATATGTACAGCAACAGTGATGATTTCAAAATTAGTGCAGCAAAGTCAGCAGATTCAATCTGGAAAGTTAGAATTAATTATAATAATATTCCAAACTTTATGCTTTGTTTTTGTCTATATTCCACTATAATACAAACCGTTCCATCACATTTGTATATTCAGTCTGTTTTTAGATTGAATTGTGATGAAATATGACATTTTGTGATGCATTGAACTGTTTCCTAAGAATTGCAATTAAAATTATTCATTGGCTGTGACCAAAATGAATGCCTTCTCCATTGTGTAGTTCGTTGCTATTTAGTTTACTAAAAAGTGATGAAGCACATAAATTAATAAATGAATTCAGACACCTTTTCATCATCAGCTTACATTGATTCACCAGAGGCATAAACAAACCAGCATTACTTTGCTTGAATGAGGCTAAAGTTGGCTCTTTATTTACAGCCATATACATAAGCATAAGGTTTTGAGAATGCTCAGCTACACATTTAATTCTTGGTCCATGATTGCACTATTCTATGATACTGTGCAAAAGTCAGAGACCACCCTTTTGTTTATTTAATTTCTATTTAAAATGGCCATCCATTAAGGGCAGGATACATTTCTGAGGAGATTAGATATAAGATAGTCCACCTGCAAAGTCAAAAGAGAAGTGGAGTTCTAAAGATATTTAAAAGATATAGGGGAAGATATAGAGGAAATGGGACCCCTAACAATTGTGCAAGACCTGGTAGACCACCAAACCTGTCACCATCAGATAAAAAGCACTTAAAGCTTCATCGTTGAGAGAGAGGAGAAAATCAACCACCACTTTTGCTTCAGATCTGAAAAAACAGGTGTTTCTCTCCATCTTTCCACTGTGAGAAGACAACTCAACACAATGAGTCTGAAAGGATGTCCAGCAAACCCCAATATCACTGAATGTATTCATGTGTTCATTGAATGTGGGACTGCTTGGATGGTCAGAAGCAGAAAATGCAACCAACTTCTAAGACTGAACTTTAGAGGTGTGGAAAATATTACCTGCAGATTTCTTTGAAGGCACTAAAGGCAGGTCTTCTGAAAAGAATGGTAGATGCAATGTGTTTTCTGCTTTGTCCTGATGCTGATCAATAAATAACTTGTCCTTAATGGCCATTAACTTAATTGACATGAAAATGAAATAAATGAACATGTGATCTCTGACTTTTTCACAGTACTGTACAATAGTTTTCATTAGTGTTTTCCAATTTGGTGAGCAGCAGGCAGTGAACTCACAAGGGCAACTGACCCTAACATAACATTAACATAACATTCCTCTGTCTATTGCTTAGTAACCAGAAACTCACAATGTACTCTGTTACACATTCAACTGATGTAGTGATTGACACAGAAGTTTCCCATTCATGACCCATATTGTTTCCTTACTTTAGGCAGAGAGTATTTGGGTATTTTGATGCGCGCAAAAGGTTCCCTCTGGTAAGACACATAGTAAGAGGCCCGGCCAGCCATGGTGACCTATGGGAGAGAAGAGACAGACAAAATAAATCAATCATTCGATCTCTCTCCTCTCTTACCTTATCTGAAAGAGTAGAGACTTCATACTCAACAATGTAAGCTTTATCAGTGCACGACTGCAACAAGGAATATGTACCGGAGCACACATGGCTGTCTGTGAAACTTCTGTAGTGCATTATTAATAATTAATTCACATATTTAACGATTTATCATTATTATTTTTTAATCCTAATGCTTCAGTTTTTGTGGGATTCCTTCAACAGCCTATCTCTTTATACTTATATAGGATAATATATACACAATACAACAAATAAAGATGACTTTTAGTATAGTTGTTAGCATAGTTGCAAATACAAGCCTAATAATTAAAAAAAAGGTTGTTTAACTACAGGCTTATTATTCAGTTATTACCATTATTCAAACTAATATGTAAATTATGTCGTTAAGACAAAGAGGAAATAAATTTGGGCCCATATAGAGACCCTTAGAGATGTACCGATAAAGAATTTATTGTCAGATAATCATAATTGATATTTAACATCTTTCTGTGACTGATAGTGCAACCACTGTTTTTACAAAACCAACTCCAAAATATTGGGACAGTAGAAAAATTACAAAGAAAAACAGAAAACAATGGTTGGACTCCAGGCTTTTATTTTATTGTTCTGTTTTAAGACATTATGTTATGAAACGGCATGAATATGTACCCTTTTCTTCTTCCGGAAAATGTATTTAAGGTTCAAATGGGACCTTAAAACCACTGTTGTACCTTTGAGGGTACATTTTCGCTGTTTGTACCTTGATGAATGAAAAATGTACCTGCACAGAACCTTTATTACTAACATTGTACTAGTGAGTATAAGGGTGAATATATAAGCAGCTGCTATATTGTGTACCTTTACCTTACAGTTAAGGGGTTAAGACTACACCCTCAACACCCTCAACAACGGCTCATCACAACACAGCAAACCAAGGGATTCTATTCCACACCAGGAGCCTGACATTTTTTCAAAACAATCTGTACAGGGGAACCTCCTGGCTGGCTCTTCAAATATTCTGATGGTCTCTGATCTGTCCAAGCTCTTTGCACAGGAGAGAGCCTATGATAAATGTGGTGGACAGATCGATAATGTCAGGTGAAATCTTTAGTTTTCTATAGCAGCACCTCTGGCCTTCCTCTCATTACAGGGGGCAAAGGGTGGAAAACATGGGCTTGTTCGTTGGTGAATTCACTGCATGGAGAAACCTGTCAAACTGTTTTCATGGCAGAGCTATGCTAAAGCTAGCTCAGTCCAGTGTCTGTAATTCATTCCGACCCCTCCATCTCTTCATATTTTCAAATGAGTCAAATTTCTACCCAACAAGCTGCGGGTTGAACTGAAAGTTTAAAATGAACTTGTGATTATGTGACAGAACTGATTAGCGCTCTTAGCAAGAGCACTAACAGCACACAATTCAGTGAACGAGAGAGAGGGGGGGGGTGGCAGGGGCAGGAAACTACGAGCTTACTCTAACAGCATGCCTTCCAAAATGGTCTTTCATGCAATAGTTGAAGGAAGTAAAAAAGGAGATCAATGGCTTTCGGAAGCCGGTAAATTTCAAGAGAAATTGGGGCGATCGATTTTTTTTTTTTTTTTTTTCCTCTATCTCTCTCTCTCTTTTGAATCCTTTCATCTGCAATCTGGTGCAATAAAACGTCAAGGCCAGGCATCCGGGTCATATTGGAAATGTTTGTGCACTTAAGTGAAACACTTTCAGGCTGTGAAAGTGTAGAACCGTGTGTTCCGACTCTCTATATAGTCTTAAACAACAAAGGTGCCAAAAAGCGTTATATATTCTCCATAGAAGAACCATTTTTGGTTCCCTACAAGAGACATGTGAGTATGAAGAACCTTTTTAATTTTGAAAGAATGTACGGTGACACTTTATTTTGAGTGGACCTTTTAGATGAAATAAACACTCAACAGACTCTCAGTAATAAAAAACACATGAGGGTTAGGATTAGGTTTCAGGTTGAGGTTAGGGTTAGGATTAGGGCCAGGGTTAGGTTTTGGGTAACGCTGGGTAAGGTTAGGTGTTGCATAATGGAAGTAACATAGTACCAATACATCTACTTAATGTAAGTAATGTATCAACAGTACATGAAGATATTTAATTCAATGTATTCAGATGCTTCACTACGGCTACTTCACTGATATGTTGTTGATGTGTTACTGATAATCTGTTAAGAGTTTATTAATCATCTACAAAGGAGCACTCCAAATAAAGTGTTACCGGTTCTTCACACTCACATGTGCCTTTATGGTTCATTAGGGAATTCAAAGTCTATATCATCGCTCAAAAAACTTTTTTTTTTTATTTTTATGAACATAAAAGAAAGACTTTGGTTTCCTGTGCATCATCTTGATTGAGTGGCTTCAGCTGACATATTTGAAGAACCATCCACTGAAAAGTTTTTGGAAAACCAAAAATAGTTCTTTAAAAAAACCTTTTTGGGCAACTTTAACCAAGAAATATCACAATGGATCTATGCAAGCTGATTAGTGACATTCTTGCAAATATTATTTTTTTCTTTTTTTGTCAGGAGTGTTTTGGGATTTAGTACAAAATGATATTTTGATATGCAAATGAAATGTTTTCTACATAAATATGCATGCATTTGCATATAAAAAGCAAAGCAAGACAATGGGCTGGCCTTTGGAATATGTTAGAATTAAAATGTTTATTTCATTGTGAAGACACTCCAGTGAAAGGATTTTACAGAACAGATTATTGAAATTCCATTGTTTTATTGTTTTATTAAGAAAACACTATGCACTGCTTTTATAAAATACTTTTTAGTCATTCTGTATTACAAATTCTAGCATAAATCCAGCTTTGAGCAATATATTATGAAATCCTTCAGAAAAGTGTGAAGAATGAATGTAAAGTTTCATGCTTTGCAGAATGCTGACATTCTAGAAGCTTAGCTTTTGGTTCTGAATGCACAGAAAAGCTGACTTTAAGAATCTTGGTTTTAATAATTAGCCTCAGCACTGTATAAGCCAGCAAGAACTCACAAAGCATGCAGCATTTGTGTGCATGTTGTCATTAGACATATTTGGATATTCTGGTTAGACTTTACAAGAAACAAGCAGTGATATATGACACAACATGGTTGCGTCTGTTGTGGGCAGAGCTAGGCCTTCATTAAAGCTGATAACCTTGGGGAAATACAGTTAGGTGCAAGTGGACGCTAACTGACTAAACATGCATTTCTATTGCGTTTATTACACGTGTTATAGATGCAACTCATCCAAAATTCTGAAATGACCAATGCTGCCATGTCTGCCTGTAGTGCCTTGCCTTAAACAAAGATGCACAGATATGTAGCTCAAGACTGAAAACTACAACTTGCAAAGGAATCTTCAGAGAGAAGTTGAGGTAAAATATCGCCAGCAGTGAACGACCCAAATAATTGCCCCTGTATCCCCGGCTTGAATTTAAATCGCATGCATCCTCATTTGCACAATGTCACAGTAAATCAAGCTCAGGCAAAAGAGGGGAAATTAAAACATCCCAAAAAATTGTATTACATTACTTTCAAATTCAGCCCATTACCATTTCAGATTCACTCCGGCACAAACGATGATTAATCTGCTGCATTGGTCAGCCCTGAATAGACACACATACACTTACACACACCTACACACTCTGAATTCTCCACCCCGGCTCCTTGCCTCCAATAGTCAAGGCCTCAGGTACTTCAGCAGTCTGAATAAATCCAGACTAACATGCTTTGTGTGTATCAAGCTGGATATCTTTATGCATTATGCAATATGTATTTAGGTTAACCAATATACAGTCATATTTCTGCCATTTGTCAGCACAAATCAACAACACAGATCTTACCCTACCCATAACATCTGTCCTCCCTCATGATCATATTTGCATCCTACATCTGTTTCCTCTGTTTACTTGTGTTCCCATTAAAGCTGCAGAATACATTAGTTTTTGTAATACTGATATCAGAGAAGGCTACAATATGCAAATGAGCACTCTAACCAATCATATATTTTTGTGCACTGTGAGCGTCCTGGCAAATCATAGTTCCAGGTAAGCCTTCCATGAGTCAAGATGCTCATGTAATCTGACCAAAGTTAATTAATTAGGTCAAAATTAACGCAGGCCAATCTTCCATACAGTCACATTACAGATTCATCAGTGTGCTTTTAATATATTGCATGGTATACCACAATCACAATGTGAAGTGATATAAATCACAATACTAGTCTTTTGTCTACATCAGTCAGTAGTTGTCATTGTATTTCTGTTAATCCTTTAAAGAAAACACAAAAAAGCAGCTATATCTGCCATTTAATCTACACTTCTCCTCTAATGATGTGATACCCCAATGCTGTTGTTGCATTTATCTGTAAGGACACACAGTGAAGGAAACTGCAGGCTGATGCTGACATGAAATATTTTTGATGTGCGTGTCTGCTGATACCGATGTTAATACATAAATACGTAAAAATATTGGGTCTCACTTTATTTGGACAGTCTACTATAGTCCCCTATAGATAATCTACAGATGTTCAGATTGCTAACAGAATGTCTGTTTTTTGTTGACTCTAAACAGGGGTTAGAGTTTGGATTTGGACCAGGGTTAGGGTTGGATTTGGGTTTGGGGCTGAGGTTAAGGTTAGGGTTAGGATTAGAACCAGGTTTAGAGTTAAAGACAGTTATGATCAATTTAGTAGATATTTAGTTTAATGTAACTTGAAAATAAATTAAAATTATTGAAATTATGACTGTCTATAAATATAACCTTTATTTCTGTAGGGTTACAAATGCAGTAATGTAAACAAAAAGCAGATATTTTAGTACAGTAACCCAGCGTCACCTAAATATTCTGTTTTTCCGAAGTACCATAGAAAAATCATCAAATATCTGTCTGAAATATCAGTCAAATCTAAACATGTGTCTGATATTGATCATTTTGGTTGATTTTTAAGCAATTATCTGCCAATACTAGTATTCCAATATCACTATTCTTTTTTTAATGACATATAAAAACTTGATATAACAAAGGTGAAAATAAATAGATTTTTATAGTCACAAACTACCTTTTAGAGCAACAAAAAACAAAACAAAAATAAAAACGCATGAATGAGAACAATAGTTGTTTATTGTTGCTCTGATTAAGCAAACCGATAATAAACTCTTACTGATCTCTGTATTAGGTTGCACACTCACTCAGGAACTATCAAAATGCATCCAACAATAAAGTCAGCATTGTGCTTTTTTAATATAGTGATAGAAAGCACAGTAGCTCATACAAAGCTCAAATTCCGCACGCTGATCCATTTTGCTATGGCCAACATTGACCTTCGCCATGACCACCATGTGTCCTAACCCCTCTGGAAAAAGAATTTAATGAGTTAAACCAGCGTTCCTGGTGAGACGTTTGGTTTGGTAGAGTTAATTGATTCATTTCCTTTATGATGTCTGTTACTTAATCAGCCAGTTTCCCAAACATGGATTAAGCTTTGCCTTGAACTAAATTGGCAGTGCCAATAGTGAATCTATTCCAATTTACAAACCCATGTCTTAAGCACAGCTTCAACACATTGCCACAAATGATCTTTAAATAGTAAAGAAAGTAAGGTGTCCATTCTACAGAAGCATTGTCTTGGCAAAACTTTTCCAAGCTACTAAATTCCAGTACATAAACTTTTCCCTTGGTAATGTTCTCAAAGGCTGGCTTCTGTTTGGAAAACTATTAAATGAAATTGATCAAAAGAAACTTTTTTGGGCTATAAATCCCATAGCTTTCCTTTATGGGAGTAGTACTATTAAAAATAAAGGTGTCAGAAAGAGTTCTTTGGGGTGATGACACTGTAGAATCACTTTCAAATGATGGTTCTTTAAAGAACCACCTATATAGATGAGATGTTATTAAAGTTTAAAGAAACTCCACCTAACGTAAATGTTCTATACCACATCAAAGCCAAGAACCACTGAGAATTTAATTTTTATACATAATGTATGAATATATGGCTAAAGAGAATCTGCATTTAAAATGGTTGTATAATCTGCATCTAAACAGATGGAGACAAGATATTAGAAACGTTAACTAAACAGAAAGCAATATGGAGCCATATGAAACTATGACGAAATCAGCAGCAATATGGAATTACAAAACCATAACTAAGCAATCAGCAATATAAAGGCATGACTAAGCAGTCAGCAGTGTGGGACCATATGAAACCATGACTAAGCAGCTATTTTTATCTGCAGTTTGGGATGATAATAAAAACACAACTCTGGCTTCTGCAGGCCCTTTTGATCCTTTAGCGTAGAGATGAAGAGTGCGGACAACATGTTTCTATCTTAAATGCACGTTAGCTTTATTCACGCAAAAAATCCAGTGCACTTCAAATCACAGGGAAAAACCTCATTAATACACAGACCGTATTTACACATACCCTAATTAACCATAATAAATTCCACCACTGAAGACATGCGTGCTTGTGCACTGACGCATTTGAAACATATGTAAATTCTTGATTTGCGCTGCATGCAACACTAAACATATGGACCACTCATATGGACACCAAACCTCAGCAGCGTATCTCGCAAAGCAAACAACATGTGAGCTTATTTGTTCCTACCTGAATAACAATGTAGTCGTCCTGAACCACCAGCGAGTTGGTTTCAATGTAGCTGGGAAATGGAAATGTCCTGCTGGATTCTGAACAAGCCTGGGCCCTGCACGTCATATACTGACATTCTGTGGGAAGCCAAGTGGAAACATACAAACAGATGTTAGTGCAGCATGTGCACCACAATAGCAACACACGACATGCACCACCACAGGGTATTCAGTGTATTTCTAGATGTTTTATTCAGTGTTTCAAATGTCTTGTGGACAACAGGAAGTGGTGATAAATGATAAATAATACTGTTGCTACTGAAGAAAAAGTTTTAAATTATAATGCAGGTTAATGCAACAGGATTTTTTTTCCAAGTGATTTTGGACCTTTACTGTTGGTGCATTCATCATGAAATTTTAACCCAATGCTAAGGATAACTCGAGTTTCCAAATTATGCAAAAAAAGTAAAAAAAAAAAATATGTTGCCGATGTGCTATATCTGTTATGTGTCTCAGGATTTGATCACAATCTGGAATACAAGACATTCTGATTCTCGATGCTCAACAGATTTTTTATTCATTTTTGAACCACCTACAGCTCTGTTTTTCATCCTGGAAACATCTACAATTTCTTTAGCTTTACAGTATCCTAGATTTCTAGTAATTGAACTAGCATATTAGATCTCATACGTTTATCTGCAACTAAATTGATTTTATTGTATATTGTTGAAATACTGTTAATCATTGATTCCAACCTTTTACACAGTAGTGTACCTTACTGTACTTTATAAAACAGATCTGAATTGGTTGGGACGCATTCGAAGCCGTTGTAAAATCCACAATATACGCACACCTATGACCACCTCACAACAACTGAACTCTGTATTACTGCATCACGACACAAAAAAAACCCTTGTGGTATTAATGGAATAGTCTTTGACTCTCGCGTTGCTCGGATGGGCCACCGAGTGTAGTAAGAACCCGTTTTTGTTTAAACTGAGGTGCCGGCGACTTATGTTCTTAACTAGAACTGCGTTAGTCAGCTAGCTAACAGGCTAAAAGATAGCAAACAGCCTAAACAACTCCATCATTAATATTACAGACTTGAATTAAAGTATTTACGGTATGATTAACTGTAAAAATGACAGTATAAACTTCTAAAAATGTCACTTGAATGGACAACATGCTTCAAATGTCTGTGTTTCAGTCAGAAGTAGCATCAAACCCAGGCTGAATCCCAAACGGCTCCGTATTCCCTAAATAGTGTGCTAGCTATGAAACTTTAGAAATTCTAGCCTTTACAGCCAAATAGTGCATCATTTATCGAGTATGGATGTGTCTGAGTCCCAAATGACTATCTTAACTATATTATTCACTGTTGGGGTGCAACATCCAGTATTTAAATTCCTATGTAGTGCACTATGTAGGGAGCAGGGAGCCATTTGAGATTCAGCCACAGCATGAGAAGAGGAGCGCCGCTGGATTGGTGCTAAATAAGACTCGCAGTGGTAATTTGGTGACTAAAAAGTACTTATAAAGCGAAAGATTTTGCATTAAACAGTGCTGTATTATCAAATGTTCATTGTTATAGCACAAAAAGTTAAAAAATTAATGAAATGAAATATACTGCAATGGGTGACCGAATGTTGTTTATGTTGATTATTATTAACAATAACTTAAATTATTTTCTGAAAATGTGTGTATTTCACGTCGGCAGCTGTTTTATAAAAGCATTGGGGCGCTTGAGGCCGTGCGTCACTGCAATTTTATCACAGGGAAGGGAGTCCGCTTTGTGTTGTCCCTAACAACTCCCTTCCCATGATAAAATCGCAGTAACGCATGGCCTCTCGCGGCTTATTGCTTTATTATTGGAATACTGCTGATCATTGATTCCAAACATTAACACAGTAGTGTACCTTACTGTACTGTAAGTCCAAGAAAGTTCATGCCTAATTCAGGAACTTATGAAGAAGCTAATAATTAGCCAGTAGGTTGAATTGGGGTTGTAAGAGCAAAGAAAGCACTAAAGTGTGCAGGGCATTGATTCTCCAGTGCTGGGATAGGGAATCGCTACTTTAATGTGCTGTAAATAGAAACCACTCTAAACCCTTCGGAGTCACAGTTACTGCTGGTGATAAAGCATGCTGTAATTTGAACAGCGAACATAGTGGAGGTTCTAAACTTATAACTGATCGCATTTTTAAGGAGGTGTTTTATTATAATTTGAAGTTGATGTAACAATTCATAGCAGCATGCTATCAACAGACCCTTTTTTAAATAAATGAGTAAACACTGAAATTGATACACATGTATTTTCATAAGCTGTACTACTATAATTCATCTGTAACAGTGAATACACTAGTTACATTGTTGTTGCATGTGTTGTTAATGTGTAACTGCGCAGTTATTACAGTTACAATGAAAAGTGGGACCTAGGTCATTTTAAAGCTTAGTAGTATTTAAAGAAAAAATCTGTATCAGATCTGTATCTGTGTGAATATCAGCAGATATTAAAAGGTTTGTTTTATATTGGAAAAGATAAAGTGCCATCATGTAACCTCTAGTAATTAATAAGAAGAGTAAATTAAAAAAGAAAGAACAAAAATAAACATTCTCCCCCTCTATAAAGGAAAGGAAAGGATCCACTGTACACTTCATGTAGAAAACACTTTATTCCATCCAAAACCCTGCCTTTCTCTATAAGCTTCTTTACCGATCCTGCTCTATTCAACTCTACAGTCAGGTTAACGTATGGAGGGCCTTGAGTGATAATGACATCTAGAGTTATGAGGTTGACATTAAACAGGTGGGATGAGGGGGCTTGCAGGCCCGGGCTGGTATTAATAAGCGATCACGCACTGCATTTATCATCAAGGTAATCCAGTCTACAGCCTCAGGGTCCAGCTTTACCCCTCCCTCAACCCCCGGAATCCATCCGCCAGCTTTATTGACTCTCATCCTCTTCCGTAATTGGAAGAGGGGATTGCCACTTTTTCTCCCTTCCTCTAACACCAGGGCGAGAGGGGAAGGGATTGAAGGAAGGGAAAGGTGGGAGAGTGAGATGAAGGACAGAAAGACAGAGAGAGAGAGAAGTTAGAGAAAAAGAGTTTCCAAGGTTGGAGTGAAGTTCTGTGGGATGGAAAAAAGAAAAGCAGGTGAGGGGCAGGTCAGGGAGAAGAGAGAGAAAAAGTATGAAGGTAATGGGAGGAGAAGAAGAAGCATGGGAAGAGGAGATGGCAGAGTGCTATTAAAGACATTAAGGGAGAGAGATGGAAGAGGCGGCTGTGGTAAATACAGGTGATGCTCCTATATTTCCTTGGCTTGAGCACAGAAACGTTGTTATTCTGTTAAAAATGAAATTCAAATATAAAACATTAAGCTGAGATACTGAAGTACCAAATTGCCAATAACTTGCACTAAAATGTAATTGTCAAAAGTAAAAGCATAGCATTTAATAATGTTTTAATACTGACACTGCCAAAGAAAAACAAGTATCTCCAAGATGATAATGTTACAGGACAGAAGCATTATTTACTTTCAATGTAACTTTCAATGCAATTTTTTTCCCGTTCATCATGAAATGTTCACACAAAGTAAAGGACAGCTGTTGTGCTCAAATAGTGTAGAAAATTACAAGTCAGAAAAAAGGAGATGCGTGTTTTGTTGTTCATTGTTTTACTTTTGACAGTGATGTGTAACAGTTCCTCAGATCTGAAGGTGAATTTGCATATGGGAGGCCTTTTAAACTGAGTCATTTTCTCTCCACAGTAAAAGCTTAAATATGCAGTTAATTAGATCTTAATATAATCATTTTAAATGTGTGAATTATCAAGTTAAGTTTGTGTATCAAAGTATATGTAAAAGTAGGAAAGGAATAGTGAAAGAATTGAGGAAAGCATGAATAAGAATGGAACAGTGAATGAATGGTGACAAATGAACAAAAAGGAATGAAAGAATGAAGGTATTAGCAAATAATTGAATGGATAATTTAATGAAATGAAGAAAGAAAGACATGGCAAATGAATGAATGATAAAGAAAAAGGCAATAGCATAAATGAATGAATGAAAAAAGCAATTAATTAATAAATAAAAGAAAAAAGAAATGAGAGAAAGAATAAAACTTGATGAATGAATGAATGGATGAATGAATGGATGAATGAATGAATGGATGAAAGACAAAGAAAAAAGTAACAAAAATGAAAAAAAAATGAATGAATGCATAAACAAACGAATGAACTGATGAAAAAGAAAGTATAAATGAATAAAAAAAGTTCAAATGATCGCACGAAAGAAAAAAGTAAGAAATTAAAAGAAAAAGAAAAAAGCTATAGCATATATGAATGAATGAAAAAGACAATGAAAGAAACTGTGAATGAATGAATTAATGAATGAATGGATGAAAGAAAAAGTAAAACTAGAAAATGAATGGATTAATGTCAAAAAGACAAAAAAGCAAATGAAAGAAAGAAAAAGACAGGAAGAGCAAATGAATTAATGAATGAGTGAAAGGGAAAGCAAAGAAAACTATTGCCAATAAATGAAAAAGAGCAAATGAATTGTAATATAATTCATTTCATCATGAATAATAGTGAATGAGTGAATTAAATGAATTAAATGAAAAATGAAATAGTACACAAATGAAAGAAAGAATAGAGTAAGAATGGGTGAATGATTGAATGAGAAAATGAATGAATGAATGAATGAATGAATGAACAGACAGACTGTAGTAAGTGCTGAAGGTAACTAAGTCAGTGAGTATACAGCTGTAGAGTAGGTGTTACTCACGGCCATCTGCAGTGTGAGCCTCCATGTGCACCAGATCAGCGTCTCTGTCCAGACCGCTCACTGACCTACACACACACACACACACACACACACACACACACACACACACACTTATACACATCTTATTCCAGCTCTGTTGCTGCAGCCGCAATAAAACTGCACTGCCCCTCTTTATGTGCTGTCATTTCCCCAAATGTCTCATGATGGGGAAATGGAATTGCACTGTTGTTTATCACAACAGAGAGAGGAGTACTCCTCAACACCTCTGTCTGAGTGTGTGTGTGTGTGTGGTGTGTGAGAGAGAGAGAGTGAGAGGAGAGAGTATAATTGGAAAAGCGAGTGATAGTGCCTGCTTTTAGTGTGTGTCTCTGTGTGTGTAAATGATAATAACACCTGCTTTGTGTTTGTGTCTGCTTCATTTCTGCTGAAACACTTCCAAAACAACTCCCCTGTGGCTGTTAGTGGCTCCATCCATCATCACTGCACTTTAGTAGCTCTGAGATGATGAGATTTATTCAATTCAAGTGGGACGAGTGTAGTATTGGATTCTCTAAGCTAAACTCTGTCTCAACATTGGTTATCTATTTACTCTGATAATCTAGGTTTAGGTCCTCAAGCTGTGATCAATTCAGGTTTAGATGCTCAGGCTGTGAGTAATCCAGGTTTAGATGCTCAGTCTGTGAGTAATCGAGGTTTAGATGCTCAGGCTGTGAGTAATCCAGGTTTAGATGCTCAGGCTGAGAGTAATCCAGATTTAGATGCTCAAGCTGTGAGTAATCCAGGTCTAGATGCTCAGGCTGTGAGTAATCCAGGTTTAGATACTCAGGCTGTGATTAATCCAAGCTTAGATACTCAAGCTGTGAATAATTCAGGTTTAGGTACTCAGACTGCATTTGATCCAGGTTTAGATTCTCAGGCTGTGATTAGTCCAAGTTTAGATGCTCAGGCTGTGATTAGTCCAAGTTTAGATGCCCAGGCTGTGATTAATCCAGGCTTAGATACTCAGACTGTGATTTAATCCAGCATTAGATACTCAGGCTGTGATTAATCCAATCTTAGATGCTCAGGCTGAGAGTAATCCAGATTTAGTTGCTCACGCTGTGAGTAATCCAGGTTTAGATGCTCAGGCTGTGATTAATCCAGGTTTAGATACTCAGGCTGTGATTAATCCAGGTTTAGATACTCAGGCTGTGATTAATCCAGGTTTAGATACTCAGACTGTGATTAATCCAGGTTTAGATACTCAGGCTGTGATTAATCCAAGTTTAGATACTCAAACTGTGAATAATTTAGGTTTAGTTACTCAGACTGCATTTGATCCAGGTTTAGATACTCAGGCTGTGATTAGTCCAAGTTTAGATGCCCAGGCTGTGATTAATCCAGGTTTAGATACTCAGGCTGTGATTAATCCAAGCTTAGATACTCAAGCTGTGAATAATTCAGGTTTAGTTACTCAGACTGCATTTGATCCAGGTTTAGATTCTCAGGCTGTGATTAATCCAGGTTTAGATGCTCAGGCTGTGATTAGTCCAAGTTTAGATGCCCAGGCTGTGATTAATCCAGGCTTAGATACTCAGACTGTGATTTAATCCAGCATTAGATACTCAGGCTGTGAGTAATCCAAGTTTAGATGCTCAGGCTGTTTAATAATCCAGGTTTAGATACTCAGGCTGTGATTAATCCAGCATTAGGTGCTCAGGCTGTGATTAATCCAATTTTAGATGCTCAGGCTGTGATTAATCTGGGTTTAGATGCTCAGGCTGTGATTAATCCAAGTTTGATACTCAGGCTGTGATTAATCCAGGTTTAGATGCTCAGGCTGTGATTAATCCAGGTTTAGATGCTCAGGCTGTGATTATTCTGGGTTTAGTTACTCAGGCTTTGATTAAACCAGGTTTATATGCTCAGGATGTGATTAATCCAGGTTTATATGCCCAGGATGTGATTAATCCAGATTTAGGTACTCAGACTGTGATTAATCCAGTTTTAGATGCTCAGGCTGTGATGAATCCAGGTTTAGATGCTCAGACTATGATTAATCTAGGTTTAGATACTCAGACTGTGATACTTGCAGGTTTAGTTACTCAGGTTATGATTAATCCAGATTTAGATACTCAGGCTGTGATTAATCCATGTCCTTGTCCACGTGAAATCGTGACATTTATGACAGACAGTGCCAAAGAAGGAAAAAGAAATCATACTACCTAAATAGGAAGACAGCAAAGCTTTTATGACCATAATAAAGCAACACTGCCTTCACTGCCATCAGCATTAGATCAAACTAATCTTAAAATTAGCTGGATAAGCAGAAATCCTGCATTGTGAGTTAGAGCCCTACATCAAGAATACTGAGAAGGTTGTCTGTAATTTAAATCATAATTTATTACAACCGCAAATGAGCATTTATGTGTCCTATGTATGTGTAGACACACACTCACTGAGCACCATATTAGGACCACCTGTACACCTATGTATTCTTGCTGTTATCTGATCAGCTAATCATGTGGCAGCAGTTCATAAAATCATGCAGATGTGGGCCAGCAGCTTCAGCTAATGTTACATGAAGTTACATGAACCATCAGAATGAGGGAAAAATTGTGATTTCGACCGTGGCATGATTGTTGGTGCCAGATGGGCTGGTTTGAGTATTTCCATAACTGCTGATCTCCTGGGATTTTCATGCAAAACAGTCTCAAAACAGAGTTTACTTTGCCTTGTGTCACCAGTCCAGGCTGGTGGAGGTGGTGTAATGGTGTGGGGAATGTTTTCTTGGCACACGTTGGGCCCATTAATTTCAATCAATCATCACTTAAATGTCACAGCTATTTTGAGTACTGTTGTTGACCATGTGCATCTCTTCATGGCCACAGTTTACCATCTTCTAATGGCTACTTCCAGCATGGTAATGCACCAAATCACAAAGCAAGTCAATCTCAATCTGGTTTCATGAACATAATGAGATCAGTGTTTTCCCACTCACTGGATCGGAATTCAACAGAACACACAAAATTTTGCAGGAATTGCACGACGCAATCATTTCAACATGGACCAGAATCTCAAAGAAATGTTTCCAACATCTTGTGGTATCCATGTCATGAAGAATTGAGACTGTTTTGAGAGCAAAGGGAGGCCCTACACAGTATTACTTTAGTATTTCTAAGTTCTCAGTGAGTATATGACCTGAAGTTGCATGAAAGTTTCGCCATGTACAGCCAGCCTTAGAACACTGAAGGTGACCAAAGATAGCCTACAAGTCCTGGAAGTGTCTGAAATTTTGTATCAAAATCAGGGAACGTGGCAGTAGTGAAATACAAACAAAGCAAAAACACACCTTGTTAGTCTGATCATTTCAAAGCATAGCACTTCCGCTGTTGTGCCAAGGGCTTGTTTTTGGTTTCATTACCTCATTTTTAGAAAAAATAATAAATAAAAAAAACACAAACACATCCCTTTCTTGCATTGTAGCAATATCACCAGTGAATCTTTTGTACAAAGGACGGTCAAAGTACGTTTTGTTGATTTTCTAAGTGAAAATAAATGAACACATCTTCTACAGAGAAAACACGTCTAAACGTTTTAATGTGCAGTTACTCATTATTTGCTGAATTTAACATTAAACAAAACAAAAAATGTGGCCAGTCCAAAAATGATGTCACTTTTTATATTTTATGTCTTTTTTCCCCCATTATGTTAAACATAGTTAAAATTGTGAGCTAAAATTTGGAAAAAAAAGTACGCATTTAAGCGTGTTTCCTGTGGAGAATGTGTTACCTATTTTCAACAAAACATATCATGTCACTGGAGGTGTTTAAACTTTTGCTTGTAGTTGTAAGTGATTTCACAACAGACATGAACATGGCACAATCTGCCACATATTTTCCAAAGATTGTTTTTTTTTATTCATTTATTTTTTTGCAGCATCTCATCATTGCAGTGTAAAAGTTCCGCTCACCGGTGTGCTGCATTGAATGACATCCAAAAATTTGACACCATTGTTTTTAACGAAGGTGCACATTCAGTGGCACTTGGCAATGTACAGCACTGCTCAGTTTGTATAATCACTAACAGCGTGCCACTCAGCGTTTTGCCATAACTGCATTGACTTAAACGCAGAACGACAGCACAGAAATCACTGGTAGCTGCCGTGACTTGAAGTTTACACTGAGAAATATAGTCAATCTAGTGTTTAAGAAAAGCAAACAAATTTCATGTGTTACTTCAGTCAACCTACATTCACATTATTATTTTACTTCGTACATCTTTGTGAAGAGTTAGTTAACACCAAACATGATAAATTCACTAAATGATGCTGAAAGTTTCTTTCCATTGAATGTCTTGGAATAGAGTTTAGAGTGAGGTTAGCTGTGTCCAGTGTGCAGTAACCACAACATATGATAAACACACAAAACTGACAGTATATACTGTTTACAGCAAACCTAAGATAAAACTTAAGTTACAGCAAGATTTAATATGCTGTTACTAGTGTGCAACCAATATGAATATTTATCAACCCTTTAAAATCTCAGGCTTGTTACATTCTAAGGCTTATTATTCATTATTCAGTAAGTACACAGACTTCAATGCAAAGTGATTGAGCTATTCTTATATATATATAATATGTGTGTGTATATATATATATATATATATATATGTATGTATATATATATATATATATATATATATATATATATATATATATATATGTTTTGGGCCAAAATCTTAAAACTGTTGTAAATCAAGGTCTCCTGCATCAGACAATGTCTTTATAACCATTTAATGCAATAACCTTCTGTGTGGAAGCTTTTTGATGCATTAACCAAGTCATGTGGAAAAGTATTTTTGGAATTTGCAGAGGGTTTGTAAAATGTAGTTCAGATATAGTCATATTGATGAAAGTGTTTTCTGCATTTTCTGAGTCTGCAACATGTATTTGATTGTTCTGTGCATAGAATTTTGTTGGCCAACATAAACATGTTATAAGACTTGCATATGAACATAATCCTTTAAGCCTGTACATATTAGTACTTTTTGAACATATTGGTGTTTTTTGCCAAACCCAATAAACTGGACTTCAGTATTAGCTGACTTATCAGAAAGGCAATACACATCAGTCTTAGCTGAGCTCACAGTCAAACAGCGTGTAGCTGCTACCACCCAAAAGTTTGGACAAGCTTACTCATAGAAGGTTTTTTATTTTTATTTTTTTTTACACATTTTAACTAAATATCTTTGATATTATTAATAACATCCGTGAATCAGGTGTGTGTAAACTTTTGATGCTGTATATTGCAGGCGGAGGCTGCTGTCTCTGTATATTATTGCTATCCTGTGTTTGTGATGACGGCGCACTTCTTGCAAGAGGGAAAAGACCCGAGGGGCTCCGTGACCAGAGTGCTACAGCCCACCTTATTACACATTCCACTTCACAGACTGATGTACTTATACATTCTCTCTCTCTCTCTCTTTCTCTTTCTCTTTCTCCCTTTCTGTAGCTCTCTCTCAACCTCTCTCTCTTTCATTCCATATTCTCTCTTTATCTGTTTCTCTTTATCAAACTCCGGTGACACTTTATTTAGTGGTCCTTTTTAGATGAAATACATGCTTAATAGACTCTCAGTAACATATCAACAACATATCAGTGATGTAGCATCAGTGAATACATTCAGTAGATTATCAAGAGACTTTTAATAAACTGCAGAAATCAAATGTTTTTATAATAATAATTCAGTGTGCGATGGACTGGCGACCTGTCCAGGGTGAATTCTGCCTTCCGCCCAATGACAGCTGGGATAGGCTCCAGCACCCCACCGCGACCCAGAAGGATAAGCGGTTTAGATGATGGATGGAATTCAGTGTATTTCATTTTATTTGGAGGCTCCAATTTCATATCTGTAGATGTGAAGCTGAGAGGTCACTGAACATGTAACAGGTCTAATACAGACGCATCTCAGCATCCTCAACAAACTGTGATAAACACACTGCTCACACCATTCTGTACCTGCAGATTAACTGGATTAGGTTTTGGTTAAGGTCAGAGTTAAGATTATGGCCAGGGTGAGGGTTAGGATTAGGTTTTGGGTTGAGGTTAAAGTTAGGTTAGGATTAGGACCAGGGTGTGGGTTAAGATTAGGTTTTGGTTGATGTTAAGGTTAGAGTTAGGATTAGTGCTAGGGTTAGAATTAGGTTTTAGGTACAGTTGGGTAGGATTTATGTAATGGAAGTAACATTTTAAGTCTACACATAGTAACATATCAACAATAAATCTGCTAAAAGTGAGTAATGTATCAACAGTACATCAAGATATTTCCTTCAGTGCATTAAGATTATTCACTACTGCTACTTCATTGATGTGTCAGTGATACTGTTAAGAGTTTATTAATCATCTACAAAGGATGATAGTTACCAATAGTTACCCAAAGTCCTTTCTCACTGTGTCTCCCCTTTTCAAGCTCTTTTAACCTCTCTCTCCCTTTTTTTAGCAGAGAACACTCTTCTGCACATTTACATACACAATTACTGTTTATTTGCTGAATGTAACATATTTCTGTTTAAACCTTTGCATGCAACTGTATATATACACTATATGACCGAATGTCTGTGGACAGCTAACCATCACACCTATATGAGCTTGTTGAACATACCATTCCAAAACTATGGGTATTAATATGGATTTTTGGAGTGCATTCGTGGAAAATTGTGTCCATTCAGTCACAAGGGCATTTGTGATGTTGGATGAGAAAACCTGGCTTGCAAACAGTTCCAGTTTATCCCAAAGGTATTCAGTGGGATTGAGATTAGAGCTCTGTGCAGGCCACTGGTTCTCCCCCACATCAAACTCTTTAAACCACCTCTTTATGGAGCTCACTTTTTGCACAGGGTAGTCAATTTGGAACAGGAAAGGGCCTGGCCCAAAGTTGGAAGCATATAATTATCTACAATTGGATAATGTCTCTGTATGCTGTAGCAATAACATTACCCCACACTGGAACTAAAGGACCCAAAAGACCCTGAAAAACAGCCCCATCATCCCTCCTCCACCAAACTTTACTGTCAGCACTTTGCATTACAGTATAGGTAGCATTTTCCTGGCATCCACCAAACCCAGATTCATCCATCATACAGTCAGACAGTGAAGTGGTTTATCACTCTAGAGAATATGTTTCCAGTGGTGGTGGTGTACTCCAGCCGACTATGGCATTGCGCAGTGATTTTAGGCTTGTGTGCAGCTGCTCGGCCACGAAAATCCATTCCATGAAGCTCCTAATGCACAGTTCTTGTGCTGATGTTGCTTCCAGAAGCAGTTTGGAACTCTGTAGTAAGTGATTTGACAGAGGTGATTTTTCTTGCAGTAGATGGTTCAGCACTCTCTGGCCCCACTCTGTGAGTTTGCCTGGCATACCACTTCAAGGCTGAGCTGTTGTTACTCCTAGATGCTTCCATTTCACAATGAGAGCACTTACAGTTGACTGCGGCAGATCTAGCAAGGCAGAAATTTCATGAACTGGCTTGTGGCAAAGGCGGCATCGTTTGACAGTGTCATGTTTAAAATCATTGGACTCTTCAGTATGACTCTTTCCACTCCCAGTGTTTGTCTATAGAGATTACATGGCTGTGTGTTTGATTTTTCACACCTGTTAGCCATGGGCGTGGCTGAAACACATACTTTGGGCTGTATAGTGTGTAACAGGCTTTCTCAGGTTTCATGTTTCTCTGTTTCTCTCTCTTTCTCTGTTTCTCTCTATCAAACTCTCTGTGTCTCTCTCTGTTTCTCTGTCTCTAGTCTATGACTCATTCTTTACGGCTTGGAAAATCATTGCGTGTTTCCAGCAGTTGAGTGAAGTCATGCACAAACATCTGCAGAATGAGGCGAGTCAGGGAAGGCAGACTGAATTGGTAATGCAACAGTTTCCGCCTATTTTTGCCTATTTGTAAGTCACGGCTCACTGTTTTTCTCAACATGAACAGTTTTGTCCATTTTACTCATAGTTATTCACTACAAGTGGAACCTTTATCAGCTAAATGTGTTTTACACAGTTATTCCCAAACATTTTCCTGCTTTTCTGTGAGATCTGTTTTGTAAAAGTGTATGATAAATGAGTGACAGCTATGAAAATGTGCAGGAGAAGATTTCCCTTACGCTAAGAATGTGACACTGAAGACGAAGTGGACCTTGCTGTGACTAAATGCGGGTCAGTAATGGGCAAAAGCTAAATAGTCACTGTCCTGCCTGTTCAGCTGTTTGCAGCAGTATGTGTTTATGGTGCATGAGAATGGGTCACTTTGGCAAGTGTGAATCTGCATCATGGTGTGACTGGGGCAGTGACACATACCAGTAGAAGCGGTTGGGGGTCACTCGCTCATGAACGAGCTGCCACTTTCGTCCAAAGTCAAATGAACTGTACAGCTGAGAGGAAGAAAGGAAGAAAGGAAGGAAATTAGTAGTTGTTAAAATCCACACGCTGGAAATCTGCTCTCCATTCACCCAAGGCAACGGAACAACGACTGTCTTCATTCTCAGCTCACTGCATTTTCTCTGATTGAACCCAATTAGCCGCTGTGATTTAGATTTCATTATAGCTACAGTGAGCCTGAACCAATGGGCCGCAACGCTATATGAAGCCCAGGCTCAGGCCGTAAAGCATAAACCCTTCAGTCAAGTTGTGGAGACTTAATAAACGTGCCACCATTAAAATCTGGCTGCTCTGGGTAACAGACAGATCTGCCGTTTGCCCAGATGGGACATTTGCCATTTCGAAAATGTCTCCAAAAGAAATGAAGTTTATACACAGTAAAATAAGCACTGCTCTGCATGGATGTCCTTTCTATTAAACTCAAGCCAGATTTCTTTAATACTGACCATTCATGCCTGTGCAGTGAGTCTGGACGCACCCCAGCTTCAACAAAAAAAGATGAAAATGCAGTAATAGTAAGTATTATTATTAATAGGGATGAGTCCGTTCTTGGAAGTGTAAGAAATCAAATAGTAAACAAGGATTTTTGATATGCAAATTAGCTAATCTCCAACATTGTACATTCCCATATTGAATAAAACTTGAGATTACTGAACTCTGTACTCCACCAGATGTCAATGTAGAAACTGTATATTCCATTGTAGTCAGTTTCTTATATCTCTAGTCCAAAGACTAGATTATAAAGACTACTGTGGCTGTCTAAATGGTACTGCACACCAGAAGAGAAGCACCTCACTGCTCAGCAGATAGTACAAAGCATAGCTACAGCATATAGCATGCATAAAAGAATATAAACAATAGCTCACTTTTATTTTACACTCTTTTCATACAGATTTAATGTAATGAAACTGTTAGCATCATTTAGTGAATGTATTATGTTTGGTATCAGCTAAATAACTCTTAACAAACTCTGTTTCCCAGCTAAAAGATACTAGGGGGGAAAAGATGCGTTGTAATGTTAGCTGAGATGAAAACAGGTGATTATCATTTCTCTGTTTATCTTATTGACTTTAGACTGACTGCCATTGTCTGTGTAAATTTTAAGCCATGTTACCTACTATGGATATGTGGTCTAGGTTTAATATAACAGAAATAATAAGATGCTAAGTATCATTATTATTATTGTTATTTTTATTGTTGTTGTACAAGTAACCTGTCCAGAATGCTACAACAAAAATATATTTACATTGTATTATTATAATGTTATTGTTTTATAATAATAATAGTAATAATAATAATAATAATAATAATGTATGTTAAATTAACATAATTAATAGTTGCATTCATTTAATCCTAATAAGCATACAGACTCATACAGAGTATTTTTAGAGCTGTAATAATATTTATTATGATTAATGCTTATTAGATCACTTGTGACCAACTCTCCTCTGGGATATCTATCTTCCTGCTGTAGCTCCAACCTTAATCGACCCCATGTGATCAATCTAATTATTCTCTTTAGAAATTCTTGGTTAGATGCATCAGGTGTGTTAGATTTGGGTGGAAAGTGAAACCAACACAAAGGTAAATGTCCAGGAAGAGAATTTCGTGACCAATGAATCAGAGCATTTTAAAACCTTGTTGGTGGAAACCTAAAGTTGGTGGAAACTGTGCTGAGAGGTTTTAAAATGAGAGGAATCCATCCACAGCCAAAATTGCTGCGGTTCTTTTAAGCCCACAAATGAGCAATTTTGACCCATGTTATTAAAAAAAAACACAGATGCATGGCTGTGATACACCAGACTACTAATGCTACCAAATTTGGCACTTAACTTCAGTCACAGTCATACTGTACACTTACCTCTATTTCCAATCCAAACAAGCGCTTAGCCTTTTTTTCCTTAAACCAACACGTACAACCAACAAGTACAAAGTAAGATTGTACTATTTCCTCAATTATTAACTTAAAGTCTCCTGTGGATCAAGAGCATCATTGAGAATTGCTGTAAATAACATCATGGCTGGTTTGGTCGCGGTAGATTTCCCAGCTGTGCTTTTATTTGCGAAAACACGCATCCTCCAGTGTTTTATTACTTTTAATACAACAGTTTTTGAAAAGTAAAGAAATGTTGTTACTTAGCAACCAATGTTGAGAGGAGTGATACAGGTGTGGTTAAAAAAAACAACCATGCTGTAATCAGATATTATAAGGCTTTTCAACCAATCAGATTGTGTGGTCAGAATGCACTGTTGTTTAAAACCAGATCATCCATTCTCTTCGCCTGTGTTCTGGCGGTCACCTAAAGCTAGCCATGTGGACAATCTAAGCGACAAGCACACTGTCACGGTGCAGTGATTTGGACACGATTCTGCTGAGACACTCTCTTGGGACTCCTAATGGACAAGACGGAAAGCCTTCTGCCTCTCTCCATTCCCTGGGCAGTTCCCTTGACTCGGTATACGGAGGCCTGTACAGTTGCCAATTAGGCTAATTAGCGAATTATTTGCGCTTGCTTGATGCGACAGACGCACTGTGATGTCTTGTGTAAATATGGCAACGTGGAGGCTTAATTGAGTAGACTGAGCGTGAACTGAACATACACTTTTGTGGTAGGATAATAACACAGGGGCCTTAAAGCAGACATTCAAACAACTAAACTAGGAACAGACACATGTAGCACTCAGGAAATTTTTTGATGCCTGCGTCGTCACATCTCGAGAAGTTTAGCTTGTGTTATGACAGACCAAAGACGGGTAGAATCAAAAACAGGGATGGATGCTTAGATCATGAAATCCGTATCTAAATCTGTAAGATTTGAGGCTCTTTTTGATTAGTTATTAGATAACGTCAAAATAGGTTCACTCCTCATCGCTGAAACAAGGTCTTTAGCCTGTTGGGAACATTTCCCTGTGTAAAATTACCCCGTTCAGAACTAGGGATGTTTCATCTGTTATGGAGGCTGGGGCTCCACCCTACCAATTACCATGAGCAAAAAAAGAAGAAACTGATTGAAATCTGTACCTTTTTTAGTCTGTGAAACTAGCTGGAGGGTCGAAAAAATGAATACCAATTTATACATCATACAACAGCCAGAATTTGTGGCCTCAGCCGCTCAGTGTTCACAGCACCCTGAGGATTCCAACCCTCAATAACATTCAGTGCACCACCCTTAGCCAGTCAAAAGCACGGAATAGTACAAGCTCAGGAAGCTGAAGAAAATGCCCTTGACCAATCGAGTAATAATACCAATCAGACATTAGTTGATTAGTAAGTTTACTAATTTCGTAAATGTATTATGTTGTGACAGCTGCCTTTATGCCTCAATTTTAGTACTGAAAGGTAGCCGTCGCAATTGACTTAATAGCCTCTTAGTATCTATAACGAGTTCGAAGGGGCAGTCGATGCTCTCTTGCACTTTTGTCTCATTGCACATGCATTTATAAGAGCTTCCGTCTCCTATAAATGCATATGGGTATATTTAACAACACTGTCAATGAGAAGTTTTGCCTGAATTTTCAGTTTTGCAAACTGCAGTTTTCTTTTCTAAACAATCATAAAAAGCACATATTGCAACTCTCACTCTGCAATTCTGCAAGCTGTGGCTTCTGTACACTGACGTTTATGTGTGCGCATGGCAGAAATGTCACAGCCATTCTTTGATGTACTATGTGTAACCAAGAGATTATGCTCACAAATATACAATTTGCCTACATTAGTTTGCATGTAAGTTCTTGGTAGATAAACTGTAGTAAACTGGCCATTCCCACCAGTGCAAAGTGTTGGTAGTAGCACCTCTCTCAGTAAACCTGCCCCCTAATTTATTATGCGAGTCACCCCCCCCCATCTGGCAAAACCACATCACAACACTGCTCAGAACATCATCTGTGTAAAACAGCCCAGTTCAGGGCATTTCTTTGTGTAAAGTTAAAAAAAGCATGAAGGCAATCAAAGTTAATGAGTAGCTAGCTCAACCCTGATTTGCTAACATCTCCACACTCTTCTACATAAAGTTACATGACATATGAAAGCTAGCGTGACCCTTCCATGTTGCAGCATGCATGGCCTAATTTCCGCTGCTCTAATTGTGTTTCAGCGCAATCCAGGCACAATTAATGACGGAGGCCTGCTCGTTTTTTCCTTTTACTCTGATTGATGCTACCGTTGATCTGTCTCCCGCTGGGACTCCACATGTGCTGTAATTTTAGTCATCCAGTGAGGAGTCAGAGACCCAGTCAAGCTCTGGCCTATTTAATCACAGGATCTAGACTGTTATTGATGGCTTCTGCGGTTCTACTGTGGTTTCACTGGAGGTGTATCTATTACCCCCAGGCTAGAAAACAGGTGTTCAGGTGGAAATTCCAGGTAGATTAGTGGCTAACTTTGCTAGAGTTGCTGCTTGAAATTAATGCAGTTCTGTAGTAATGTAAGCATTGTGCCAGGTCTGTACTTGCCAGAGGGAAGTGACGGAGAACAGATAAGGCACTGGGACCAGGTAATGTTGATATATGTGGTCCCGTTAAATTAACTACTCTTGAAACGCGAAATGACAGGTTGGACAAATTTGACAGTGCATTTGCTTAGGAAAGGCATTTGTCCCCCTTCACTGGGAAAACATCAAGTTCAGAAGAGCGGTTAGCTGTTTAGCAACCCCTTCAAATTTAATGCCTTTCAAAATGCGTTTGCTTAATCAGTCCCGCGTCTGGTCCCTTTCGGGGCCTTTCACGTTCAATGTAATCTTTCCGAATTCAGGACGAGAGACTGCGAGGCCGGAGCTCATCTATCCCCTGTCGTGGTTGATGCTCCTGGACCGCAGGGTCCCTCATAAGCGCCGACGTTGACGTATTGTGCCACTGGGTGAGCCCAACCTGCAGCAATTCATCAGCCCAATGACGTGCTCAATTTTAAAAGCTCCGAGCTGTCACAAAGTGGGCTTCATAGCTTCCCCACTCTCGTCGATAAATCACCAGTTGGGGGGCAAGGACCCACTGCCAA